CTACGAAATTTTGACCTGTGCGAGGAAAATAGGTAGGGCTAGGGACATTTCTTACCCTAACTTTTTTGCATGCAATTCTCGGCAGATTGGCCAAGAAGTATGAAAATATCATAATTTTATTGTGAAAATGATACACGAAAAAAAAAAGGAATTGTTGAATCAAGTGAAATTTAATTGAATGAAGCAAATGAAAGTGTCATATATGCACGACAAAATATAATCTTGAAATGAGTAAATCTATATCTTGTTTCAGAGTGAATTTTGAGTTTGAATCAAGTGAATATGTCTTGCATGAACTCTGGATCTTATTCAATCAAGCCCATCCATGAATTGTTTATGAAGAGGAATTGGATCAAGTAATCATTTCGTTTGATCTAATATAACAAGATATTGCACTACACTCGACACGTGTTTCGCTAACTATGTTAGCATCTTCAGTAGAAGATTAAAACTGATATTGATTCAATCAAATATTTAGTTCGGTATTTGGTTTCATTCAACATTTTTTGACCAGGAAGACATTTCGAGAATTTTATCCAGAGGTGCACTACAGGGGGTTGTGATAACTTTTCCTCCCATATTTTCTATGCCACTGATGAAATTTCGATTAACTCCATTTCTCGAATTGATCGTTCAATTATGTTGAAAAAATGCATCACCTTCAACTGAGCTAAAATGAACAGTTATCGAGATATTTGATCCAAAATAGAGGTTTGCATAAGTAGAAATTTTTCATCTTCCTCAGTAGTAGATTATAACAATTTTTGTTTTCTCTTTATGGGTGGAATAACTATTTTTGTTCAGCTACAGAATAAGATCTGAATAGTATCTAATCTACTCAACACCAGAAAAATATTTTTGCAATTTTTCTCTACTGAAAATGATGAAATATTACTATGCAATCTTCTATTTTGGGTCGAATATCTCGAAAACTGTTCATTTCAGCTCAGTTGACTGTGATGCATTTCTTGAACAAAATTGAACAATGAGTTCCATTGAAAATAATCGAAATTTAATGAGTGACGTGGAAAATATGGGAGGAAACGTTGCCACAACCCCCTGTAGGGCACTACTGGATAAAATGTCCGGAATGACTTCCTGGTCCAAAAATGACCCATTCAAAGATGAAACCATATACCGAAGTTGAATGCATCATATTCAACTTTTCTTGAGATATTGCGAAACAACTATTATTATTTCTCAACTTTAACGCCCTGTATCTCGAGAACTGAACACTCGAAGACCATATGCCCCTCTCTCAGTGATTACGAAATCACGAGGGCTATCACCTGACAAGCGTTGTCGGTCGAATTTCGCAACACCCTGTATATATTTAGCACATCGATATGATATAGTCTAAGGAATACTAATTTCTTCTGATTCGAAACGAAAAAAAAACAAGTACGCCTCTTAAAAAACAATTTAAATGATTGAACTGCGCGTGATTGGGCCTTCTGCACGGAAAAGGACCCCGCACAAAACCATAGGGAATTGGCCCACAGTGGGATTTGCCTGAAATTCACATATGTTACTGGTATGGAGTTTCTGATCAAATGTTTTCATGTGATCAATATTCTAAGACCAAAGATTCAGCTCTCAGGGTCGTATTCAGTATAGGTGCCAAATAAACAATGACACTTTTTTTATCAAGCCCATGATTTTTGTATCTCCCATTATAATTCAATTGAATGTGAAATGTTGCGAAATCTTGGCATTTGTCTTCTAGCACAAGTCCTCTGTAAAACATGCCTAGTCCTACAGGGCCGTATTTAGTAAAACTGTATTTGCCAAATCGCCGAATCGAATTTATTTTGTTAATACTTTGTTATTTCTTGTCCTATTTCAGTGGTCGTTTGATAGATAAATGTAGATTTCTTTGTGTACAAAACAAAAGTGGTCACCAATGTCACCATCTTAATATTCAAGAAATCATGGGCTTGAAAAAAAAAAGTGTCATTGTTTATTTGGCACCTATATTAAATAGGTACGACCCTGAGAGCTGAATCTTTGGTCTTAGAGGATTGGCCACATGAAAACATTTGATCAAAAACTCCATACCAATAAAAAATGTGAATTTCAGGCAAATCCCACTGTGGGAGTGTGGGCCAATTCCCTATGGTTTTGTGCGGGGTCCTTTGAACAGATGTGACGTCAAAATTGGTAGTGTGTAGAACTATGCAGGTGGAAAATAGGGCCTCGCCCCCAAATTTCATTTTGATATCCATACATTTTTATTGGTGTTATTCGATAGTATACGTTGAGCTTTTTCAGGGTTTTAAATATTTGCTCTTATTTCAATGCCACCCTGTATATTTTTCAGCAAAAAGATTGACAAATTTAAATTTTACCACATAGACTGAATTAATGAGAAGATAAATCCTGTTTGAGGGGAATTAACTTGGAATTTGGAGAAGTAGTACAAGGTTGAAGGAAGTGTTACCCTCTATGGACAAAAATGAATATTAGCATACATATTATTCTTCATGGCCGCAATTAAGGAAATAGTATACATTTAAACATATACAGAATCAGATACATTGTCGTTCAACAAATCCCATGCATGTCCGATTTCAGTTATCGTCACCTGAACTAACAATAATTATTTATTGGAACAGACCTCAAGTTGATTTGTATTGTTCTAAGCGACTCGCTCAAATGATGAAATCGATGAATACCAAAACGCATACAGAATTCATGCTATCAAATTCGATAATTATCTAAGTATTACGTATATAAACGATGGCAACATATTCGTGATTTCCAAATTTATCCAGTCTGAATATAACAGGGGGGCCAAAAGAAATCATCCAATGTTGTTTGGCTCTCATTTTTTTTTCAAAATGAAAAACTTCGATTCTGTTTTTTGATTATGTTTATTTGCACCTCTACATACCCGTTAAATCGGTAAACATAATCAAAAAACAGAATCTAAGTTATTCATTGATAAAAAAATTAGTGCCATACAACATCGGATGAATTCTTTTGGGCCACCTTGTACATGAACTGCCACAAATGAAAATAATATCAACCACTGATCGTCAAATTCTTTCTGAACTTCCTGATTATTACATGGATCTCCCACTTCACAGCATAGATTTGTCTCTTTTTGATATTTTTTTCTATCGATAATCATCCGTGAGCATGTCAAATCAGTTAGTGAAAATGTGAATGCATTGAATATTAATAATAAACAAGGCCAATAGTTTAGTACCTACATTATGACACGTTTGGTTATGCAGGATTATATTAAATCTAATTGATTATGCGTGGTGGTAACTAAGTTAATGAAGAGTTGTATTTTATTTCAGATCAGGGTTTTCGTATATTATGACGAAATAAATATTGTCTGATGATAACCTTCTGATAACTAATTTTCAACTAATCACTGGTATGTAAATAAGTATAAAATTAAAATTTATGAAAATTTGCCCGGCCAATTTATTACAAATATGAGTAATAGCACTAATTGAGGGTGTCTTCGATAAGACAACTGATTCAAAGTATTGAATCACCTCGTATATTCATTTCAATAACGATTGAGAAGATTATCTCTTGAAATCTTGAAAAAATGGAAAAAATTGTTTTACCAGGAAAGAACCATTGAAATTGTCACCTATGATACCACGAAAGCTTCAATTTTCTGTTATTAATTGAATGAAGAGTATTCGGTAAGAAAATTCACACCGAAATATCAGTATTTAGATGAGATATTCATAAAACCGACAGACTGTATGTCGAGAACTATGCATTTCCGGACCCACATACATATAAAATAAATTTCTTATTTGATGATGTAGAATGGCCCACTTGATTTTATCGGCGTAATTTCCGGACACCCTGTATATAAAAATTAATTTTTGTATGTCCTCTATAGAATCGTTAACGACTTGAACGATTCCACTAATTTATTTCTTGTTGTGTTCCTTATTGTCAGCAGAAGGTTTCTATGAGAGAGAAATTTAAGAAATTCAAGATGGCGGATTCCATATAGCGGACAAGTTTTGTAATTATAATCCGATTTTATTCAAAATTTGTATCTGGCAGTTTTTGGGGGTTTTCGATTGTCAAAATTGAAAAATTCAAGATGGTGGATCCAATATGGCAGACGAGTTTTGTAATTATGCACCGATTTCATTCAAAGTTGCTATCTAGGGGTTTTTGAGGTCGTAATTATAATCCGATAAAAATCGAAATTGGTTTCTAAGGGATTTCGGGGTCGGAGATTATGATTCTTTCATCATGATCCGTAGTTGAAAATTGGAAAATTCAATATTTCGGATCCGACATAGCGAACGAGTTTTGTAATAATTATGATCCGATTTTATTCAAAATTTTTATCTGAGGGATTTTGGGGTCGAAGATTATGATTCTTTCCTCAAAATTTGAAAATTCATGATGGCGGATCCAATATCGCGGATGACTTTTGTAATTATGAGTCGATTCTGTTCAAAATTGGTATCTGGGAGTTTTTGGGTTCGGAGATTATGGCTAGGCTCTGGAATTCATTGCCTGTGGAAGTGTTCCCAACAACATATAATCTCCAAAAGTTCAAAAAAAAATCCAATACCTACCTCCTGTCCCTATCCTCCCTAGGAACGCACGATGTTCTTTGAACATTATAGGGATTCCCTCTCGTGCGCTCCAAGCGATAAAAAAAAATGATTCGAACAGGCTTTGTAATAAATAGTGTTTCGAAAAAATGATAAAACACGTTGTTATAGATAGCTAAAGAAAGAAGAAGTAGAAGATGAATAATTGTTTAAAAAACTAAAGAGATGGATTTCCAAAATGAAAGGAAGTAGGGAATAAATAGTAGTTTGGAAATCTAAGAAGACACGCTTTTATGTTCAGTCAAACTAAACAGAAGTAGAAAATGAAATAATCCAAGTATGTTGTTGAATATCCAACTGAAAAAATATTTTTAAGTGATAATGTACTAACAAAACATCGATTGATGGTTCAGCTAGTCATATATAAAACCTCTCATTCCATTTTTTCAGATGGTAGGGCTGAAATTCGTGGACGAGAGCCTCAACCGGTCCTTCTACAAATTGGGGATGTTGGTGGGGAAACACCCTGGCTACTTCCTCATTGTACCCGTGCTCCTCACCCTGCTGGGGATGACAGGGTACCAGCGGATAAAAAACAACATCGACCCGGAGTACCTGTTCAGTCCGATCAACGGGGAGGGCAAATTCGAGAGGAGTATAGTGGAGAGTTATTTCAAGGTCAACTATAGCAGCAGATTCAGTGTGTCCCGAATAACTAGAGCTGGTGAGTTGCACATTTTTTGTCACTTATGATTCCTTGTCGAAATAAACTCGACATTTCAATGAGAATTTTTTTGACTGGGAATTGAACAAAAAGAATTTCTTCCAAAAAATTACGAATCCTTTTTTTCTGTGACGGGAAAATAGTTTGTCATTTCATATCTGTTGGCAGGTTATAAAATGTCACTTTTCATAAATACATTTTTTCCCGTGGGAAACAAATGAATACTTTTTTCTCGAATATATATCACATATGTATACACTGTTGATGACATTTGTTGTGCTATAGTTCCGAAAAATGAGTCAATAGTACCGTCTCCGAGAAAGAAATGCAAGTCCTTTTATCTTCCATTCGACTTCGCGGTTACGTATTTACTAAACAACCACTAAATTCGCAATTTTTTGAAATCAAATTACAGAATTAGACTGACAGAAGTGACAGATATTTGATTACTTCAAAAGAATGATACAGATGCCTACGACGCAGGTGTCCCTACTGTTAAAACCTTAAAATTCTCGTTAAAATTTCACGTCGATAATTTTCAGATTCCAAAATAATGTAATATCTTCTCAATATTGATTCGTCCTTTCTTCTGTCACAGAAAAAAATAGTGTATTACACGGTTTTTTGTCTTCCTCCGCTACGCGTCGGGAGACAACACAACCTAATATCGGCGAGTTTGAAGTTCTCTTTGAAGTGAGAGCAGATGCGGCACGAAACTCTGCAATTGTTTTAGGATAAACCATACCTTTGTGTATCAATAACTATATTGAGTTAATTTCAAATATTGTTTCTGTCATTTTCCTTATGGATGTTCGAGAAGAGTATTTGCTATACAGGGTGTAGGGTGAAGCGTTTTTATATCAGTCATGGTCATAGTAAGCATATCATGCAAGCCTGAGTTTTGATGGCGTTGAATTCAACCATCAGGTTGTTGGTTCCCAAGACCATTTTTACGGAAGGTGAAGACTTCGTGTCAATGAATAGATGTTTTAGTAGGTAGCAGTTGTGATGACTAATCAGTCATAATTCACTTATACTGAATAAAATTTATCAGAACGTAAACGAAAGATATAATAGAATGAAATCTAATTACCTATACCTATAACACCATTCATTACCGGTATTATTGTTTGATGCACTCATTATTGGAATTATAGTAAATAAACACTATTTTCGCACATGGCTGGATACTATAACCACGATAAATGCTGTGAAGCTTTCTATCTACCATGTAGACAACTGTGTGGTGCAATTTTTTGAAGTTGCGATACCTCCATTTCGTAGTCCCTGAACGGTTCCATAGTTGGGAAATTCCTTCACGAATATTATTTCTCGATTCTAGGTGTACACTGTTATTGATCAATCGGTCAAACGATGTAAATATATAGTTCATGATCAATGGCTCAATATCAACCAAAACAAGAATGAATCATTATTGGTAAATGAGACGAATTTTTGGCGAAAGCCTCATGACTAGGAGTTATTGATCATTCATTGGGAATGGTTCAATGACAATGAAAATTATACAGAGTGTTTCACAACCTTCATCCAACTGTTTGTATACTTTTGGACAATGAATTCATTCATTCTCAAAAAACCCTGACGAGAGTTCAACAGAAACCTAGGTGAATTACTCTTGGCTCTATAATATTAGAATATGCAAATCGAACTCCGTACTCTGATTTTGCTACTCTTTTCAGTGTCAAGAATCGAAACCTAATGAAGCGATGGCAGATGCTTTCCGCTTTATAATAAACTATTCTTGTCTACTCTGAGTAAGATTAGATTTATCGAGCAGAGCATATGGATGGAATGACCCAAATCAATTCTATATTTATTTAATTGCCATAATTGCAATCATCAATTTCTAGATTCAGACTGGCTGCTTTCAACTAATTATTGGATATTATTAGAAAATTGCTATTTCTATCAAGAAGTCTTCAACCATGTGGTACTCCACATTGAATTTTCTACTCCAACAATCATTATAATAACAACAATAGCTAAAAAAACTATTCCTCTTATAGTTTCAATTGAACTCATCAGTGTAGTGACATTCGTAGAAAAAGTCTAATCTTGTTTATAAACAGTGTGGTCCACGGTGGATGGCCTATTAGAAGTATCTGGAGAACGAAAAGACAGAACATTCTGAAAATTGGGATGCTTTGATTATTGAACATGATCTATCCCACTAAAATATTTTCATCGGTACAGTGTTGCCACTTCTATCAGAAACAACTAGCAACTTCGCTATTTTGAATGGAGCACCCTGTATTTTATTGCATTATTAGATTCTTCCTGAAGAGCTGATTTCATCAATGCATCACACTTGGGGTCTAGCAGGAATGATTACAGAGATATAGGGTGTTCAAAATCGAGATTTTTCAATTTCAGGATTTTTTTGTGTCGAAACTATTCATTATCGATATCAACGACTTACATGTCCCTATCTCATTTGATCCACTAACTACTGGAATTTAATTGGAACAAAAATAGGGTGCTTCAAGATTCAGAATTCTGATCACCCTGTTTCTGTTCCAATTAAATGTCAGTAGATAGTAAATCGGAAGTCAAGATAGGGACATGTGAGCCGTTTTGATCGATAATGAATAGTTTCGACACGAAAAAATCCTAAAATTGAAAATTCTCGATTTTGAACACCCCATATCTCTGTAATCATTCCTGCTAGACCACAAGTGTGATGCATTGATGAAATCAGCTTTTCGAGAAGAATCTAAAAATGCAATGAGATAGAAGTGGCAACACTGTATTGATGAAAATATTTTAGACGGATAGAAAATGTTTAATTATCGAAGGATCCTGATTTTCAGAATGTTCTGTCTTTTCGTTCTCCAGATACTTCTAATAGGCCATCCACTGTGGATCACCCTGTATACTAGTATACAGTACTCAATGTCTTACTGATGTTGAAACACCATCTTTTTTTTTTAATTCAGATCGACGAATTCAAAGGTACGCAGAGAAAAGAACTTTCTTGTCATCTATTTAACAAACTAAAAACCAATATCACGACAAAGGAAAGCAAATTAAAAAATGTTGCGCTCATGACTCTGAGAAACATTTGCCATAAACGATAAAACTATTGGCGCTTCACTATTATATCTCTATCATTTTTCCAGGACGTTTCGGCAGAGTAATTCTGACATCGAAAGATGGCGACGAGAACCTGTTGCGTGCGGCCGTATGGGAGGAGATGCGCCTTCTCGACAACTACATTCAAAACATGACGGTCTCTTACGAGGACGAAACGTTCACCTACAAAGACATCTGCGCGAAATGGATGTCAGAGTGCTTCCAAAACGACATCCTCAATTTAGACTACATAATGGAGGACGTAAGTATCCAAAAATGAGTGATTAACACTATAGAATCTCGATTAAGGGTTAAACAGCATCGAGTTGAGGCTTCGCACCCCTTCGTGGTCACTTTGGAGACCTTCAGAACATCTCTTTCCAAAGACTCGTTCATCTAACGAACAGCGAGGCTCTGGTTCTCACGATGTTCTCTGAACATTACAGGTTACCCCTCTTCGTGGGAACCAGAACATAAAGAAAAAACTATTTAGTTCAACGTGAAATTTCAAGAGGGTTCCGAAACTATACACATATTTGTCTTCGGTATCCAACTGACAACAAACTTTCTGATTTTTCTAGGTATACAGTGTCACTCATGAAGTTGGCATGATATATGGAAAAACTTTCAATAATAATTCATTTTGATATTCGACTTGTGATGAAAAATTGTCTGCTCTGTCGGAGTCACGTAACTTCGACAAAACAGAGCTAAACTTTGGTTAGATAAAGTAGTTTGATGATATTTTTATAAATGGCTATGATATAATTTTAGTACCTACCGAAAAAATCAATTTTAATGAATTTCGCTTCCGAATGATAGATCATCAACTTTGCATCAAACATAACAGACATTTGAAGCGGGGATTATTATTTCCTGACAAAAAAATACATTCCTGTCGATAATTAGTGATTGAAAGTTGGCAGCATGAAAAAGCTACTAGAATGAAATGGTTTTGTCGGTGTTATTTCTTTTTATATCACAGACATTTCGTTGAAAATGAAAAAGAAGTTGAAAACTATAAGTTTTCATAGAATGTTCGAATTTGAGTCACATATGTAAAATTGGAAGAGAAAAAACTTTTCTCATCCGCCTTTTTTGAAATTTAAACAAATTTTGATAAGCCTATTATATCAGCTATTAATATGAGGAAATTTAACTTCTGTTATGTAGCGAAAGTTACGTGACCCCGACCGAGTAGTGCGTATTTAATATTTTTTAAAGCAAAACTTTAATAGTTTAATTAATCAATTAATCAATGTCAAATTCAAATCCCTCTCTTACCATTGGCGTAGAAGTTTCAGATGATATTCATCATAATCATAATATGGATTTTATTGCCCAATGAAGTTTTACCAACGTACAGGGTGATTCACCATAAATGTCCCCCCCTCTAGCTCACTTATTTTTCAACCGATTTACAAATTTGAAAAATCCAGAATGATTTTTCAGAAAGTTTTTTCCCGTTGCATCAGTAAATACAGGGTGCTCGGAACAAACGATCTACAGGGTACTATTTGATTTTTTTAAAAGGAACACCCTATTTTGCATTGTATTTTCAGATTCTCCCTAAAGAGCTGATTTCATCAATGTATCACACTTGGGGTCTAGCGGAAATGATTACAGGGATATAAGGTGTTCAAAATCGAGATTTTTCAACTTTAGTATTTTTCTTTGACGAAACTATTCATCATCGGTCAGAACGGCTTCCATGTCCGTATTTCAACTTCCGATTCACTATCTACTGACATTTAATAATTGGAGCAGATACAGGGTGATCAGAATTCTGAATCTTGAACCACACTGTATATGTTCCAATTAAATGTCAGTAGATAGTAAATCAGAAGTTGAGAAGGAGACTTTGAAGCCGTTTTGACCAATAATGAATAGTTTCGACACAAAAAAATACTAAAGTTGAAAAATCTCGATTTTGAACACCCTATATCTTTGTAATCATTCCCGCTAGACCCCAAGTATGATATATTGATGAAATCAGCTCTTCAGGGAGAATCTAAAAATACAATGAAATACAGGGTGTTCCATTTGAAAAAATCAAGTAGTACTCTGAATATCGTTTGTTCCGAGTACCCTGTATTTTCTGATGTAACGGGGAAAAAAATTTCAAAAATTCATTCTGGATGATTTTTCAAAATTTCAAATCGGTTAAAAAATAAGTGAGCTAGAGGGGGGGACATTTATGGTGAATCACCCTGTACCAAATTTGAGTAAAATCTCATGAGCCGTTTCAAAGTTATGAAGCAAAATCGATTTCAAAATTGTAACTTCATAGCCATCTAGCGCAAGCAACCTTGTACTGAGGTAAGTTTGCTTGTATCGAATTGTTTTAGTCTGAGGAATACGTGGTTAGTTCCTGTAAATATATTTTAGGGACACTCTATATATTCGGAAAAAAAGTACTCACTTTGTGACATTTTGTAACCAGTCAAAAGAGATGAAATGTCAAACTTTTTTACCGTCACAGAAAAAAAGAGTTATGTTAAGTGGTAAAATCAAATGTGGATTGATCTTGCCTTACTATAGAATCTGCAAAGAAAACAGGTGGAGTTACTGGAGTGGGAAGGGATCACTTTAGATATTTTTTCTAAAGCATCTGCTGGTCTACCTACTAAAACACGAAGTCCTCCACCTAGACCTGATTATTTTTCATTAATTATTCCTTTAATCGATCAAAAATTACTTTCTCGAAATTCTTCACCTTGCATTAATTCTCATAGCATTCTTCGACTTAATTGGAATATTGAGAGAAAACAACACACTTCCGAAGAGAGTTCAAGGTTCACACTTGAGAATTATACACTTCGTGAGAAGATTGACGCTTGATTTACATTATCCACGATGAAAAATGAGGCCATTCTGACAGGAAGATCGACAGAGAGAATTTCATTGATAATTAGTCGGTGTTGTTTTCACTTCACTTTCATAGGACAGATTGAAGTGAAGATTCACAATAAATAAATGCAGAGTTTGATTTGCCCAATTTGATTCCTTCAATGGATGTGAATGAACAACTACAAAACAATTTTGGAATATTGAAATTGTGTCGTTCTTGCAACTACCGTGTGTAGAAAATATAGGGGTGAACCGAAATCCGGTATTCATTTTTTTAATAACATCTGAGACAAGGATGTTCTTTAATTCCCCTTGTCCTGTGTGTTAACGTCTTCTATATTACAATTTCCTTCTTTCCTTGATATAGAGCCATTGACCACCATTGAAGATTATTGCCATTATGATGGTGAAAGTTTCCGGTTGCAATTTTAAGAAATGAAACAATCGGTAAAGTGCACGCATTAAGTAATCAGTTGGGTCACGTGACGTACCCACCCAATTGAAGAATAGTTATTTCATGCTACAAGTCCGGGAAGTGACTTATTGAGGTACGAGTTTAGATGTTTGCTAAACAAGTACTTATAACAATCACTTCACTGATGTGTATCGTACAATATTTCATATCTCACATACAGTTTACACAATTTATTTTCGAAAACTCATTTTTGCTATTCAAATTTCGTCACAACCCTCATTTTTTGTATCCAATAATTATTTTGATAATCCCTACTTTCTGGATCGAGATACAGGGCTTTCATTGAGTATGATATAGCTAACAATAATTTCATATTTTATGAAGAAAACTAAGAAATATCCTATAAAGGGTATTCCAGGTTGAACATCATTAATTTTGATAGGCGATAGAACAACGGGATAAAGGAAGACTTTCATGAAAAAACTTTGGTTGAAAATGTTTCCTAACAAAGTTATAGGGTGTCAAGAGTTTTCACACATCGATTGAGTCCTCGACGGGCCGCGTTAGGTTTGGAATCATCACAATAAATACTATGTTGGAAGCCTGTACAGGACGTTATAAGTTTTAGCCTGTTTGCAACCTTCCAAATTCGAAAACGGAGCCATGAATCAAATATTTGCAGAAGTATTATAATTGTTTGAAGTTTTTTTATTTCTTGGAGCGCACGAAAGGAAATTCCTATTTTGTTCATGGAACATCGTGCGTACCTAGGGAGGCTTAGGGAGCGGAGGTAGATGTTGGAATTCTTTTTGGAACTTTTTGAGGTTATAAGGAATCAAAGAGTTGAATCTTTTTCGTAAAATATCTATGTGACACCAAAGATTAGGAGAGGGAGATGGAGGTGCCGACCATCATTATCTACCTACGCCACTGAAGAATTTCTTCAAATGATTTCAATCATTACTCAGAGATGTAATACATAAGTCTGTGTGCGAAATTTGATCGAAATCGGTCGATTGATTTAGAATTTATGATGAGAAATCTACTTTCTGCCCACAACTTTGGCACCCTGTATCTTTGTCAGGAAGCATTTTCCGCCAACATTTGATCTTACATAAAAGTCCATATTGCTCAAAGTGGATTGAAATTTTTCAAAGGAAGGAAAGCTCGAAGTCATCTCCACGCAATTTCATGACGTTGTTAAACAATCAGGGACCCGTTTCGGTCTCAGAAATTACCAATCTAATTAGGCTGAAGATGGTCTTTCCTGAGACCGAAAAATGTCCCTGATTGTTTAACATCGTCATTAAATTATTGTGTGGATATTGTTCTTGAATTGTTCTTAAATTTTTCTTATCCGTCATTCGGTTGCCCCCTTACGATCAACTCTCAGAAGTCCTCAATAGACTTGTGCGAGCAAGGAATGACTTCGAGCTTTCCTTCCTTCCTTTGTTCCTTTAGACTCCGGAAATATTATATATGTGTACAGGGTGTCTCAGCCCCCCCTTTATATCTCAGCTAATAATCGTAATCGTTAATTGTTTTTTTCATATTGTTTTATGTTCTGGTACCCACGAAAAGGGATATCCTGTAATTTCTGGAGGTTATATGCCTCGGGGAATACCTCCCTTGGCAATGTGTTCCAGAGTCTCGCTGTTCGTTGGATGAACGAGTCTTTGGAAAGAGATGTTCTGCAGGTCTCCAAAGTGACCACGTTGGGGTGCGAAGCCTCAACTCGACGGGTTATAGATCATACGCAGCTGACTTGAAGTGAAATAGCTCCTGGCCCGAAACAGAAAACCAAGTTTTTGCGATGCACTTCTAGCAATTGATCTCACATGATTTTCTCAAGACAGGTTATTGCTGATAGTAATACCAAGCATTAGGGACAGTGCTGTGTATTCTTATTGAAATAAAAAAAGGGGGTCGATTTTTCATGAAATCATATAGGTATTTCTTCGTCAATTTTCATGTATTGTAATTTCTATGGAGGGTTTAGAAATAACAAGCACATTTAACAGCGTTTTTGCGAAGGTCAATAATTATTTACTCGCAAACTTGTTTGTTCTTTTAAAACATAATTTTCAATCTACCGGAGCCATCGAACGTTTGTATAGTTGATTAAAATTCATTATTATTTCGAGGCACGAGTCGAATTATTGCATATACTCATCATATCGATGATTATTCATATCAGTCCAAATTTAGTGAGAATCGCACGACTAATCTGATATATAGAGGGGGGATGGCGTTTAAAGTGAGACACGCTATACGACTTTTTTAAGTTTTATATTTTCATCAGTGATTTTTCAATTGATGTACTTTTTAAAATATTGTATATTCCAGGTGGAAAATGGAATGATCAACCTAACTTTCCCAATCATGTTCAATCCAGTGACTTGGGACGCTCATGCGTTCCCGGTATTTTTTGGCGGTTCAGAAGTTAGTGAAGATGGCATCATCATCAGCGTACCTTCCGTGCAGCTAGTATATTTTGGGAATGCAGATACCAAAAAATACGAGAAAATGTAAGTGAAAAGACCCAGCCTCCGAATAGGCACCGAACAGAAACGGAATAGGTGCGTGAAGAATAGTGTTTTTTCAGTGGCGTAACATGTTAAGTTTTAATTTCAATCGAACGCACACGCATAAAAAATATATACAGGGTGTTCCTTAAGTACGTGTAAAAAATTCAGGAGCATGTTGCTGGCGAGAAAATAAGAAGAAAAGTTTGTATTAATATATGTCCAAAAGTTATTCGTTTCTGAGATACAGAGTGTTAAAGTTGAATTCTTATTTTTGATTTTTGTTAATGAATTTCAAAATAATTGTGATATCCGAATGAAGTTTGGTATCTAGAGGTATTTTCCAATGACAATATCAAATTTTATGTTAGTTTGTCTCTTTCATAGGGGTGGCGCCACCTACATGTCTTTTGAGTTTTTTGAAAAGTCATAAATTCTTTGTGCGTATCTGTATCACGTTTTGTAGTAGAAAAATAGATCCATTCCCACTCATGAAGCAAGGTTGCAGAAGTATTTGTCCAATACCGAATTGAAATCGACCTATCCCAGCAATTTTTCATTAATTGTAACACAATGCAGAAAACTTGGGGCTATCGTCTTCGATGGGCCACCCGGTATATGTTTTGTGTGGATCATTGAAAAGACTTGTTTCACTCAACATACTGATGCAAAAATATCAAGTCGTTCTGATGACAGTTATAATTTGGATCGTATATATATTTTCAGGGGAGCAGCATGGGAAGATGCTTTCCTGAATCTGATAGAAGAAATTCAGGACAAAGAAGATCGATTCCAACACATAAGAATAGCTAGATTCGCATCGAGGACACTTGATCACGAATTGGAAAAAAATACGAAATCAGTAATGCCTTATTTCACGTCGACTTTCGCAATCATGGCTATATTTTCAATAGGTACGTGGAACACGAATCTTCATCAGATTTAATATATACATGAGTTCCTGATTCCTGAATCTGGTTATATTAACTGTAACAATTATTTTTCAGTCACTTGTATGATGTTTGATTGGGTAAGATCCAAACCTTGGCTAGGCCTTTTGGGCAACTTGAGCGCTGCAATGGCAACACTGGGCGCATTCGGATTTTGCATGTACGCAGGCATCGATTTCATCGGTCTGAATTTGGCTGCCCCATTCTTGATGATAGGTAAACACTCGATATTTTTTCACTCATTATTGTATAACGAATACGGCAAATTCCTTGGTATCATAATGGATAATAAGTTGAAATTTGAACCGCATATCTTGAGCTTAAATATAAAACTTGAATCCGACTGCTTTGCTGTGCTGATGGAGTCAAATATTAGATATGGCATCGCATTTTGGGGATTTTGTAATTTACAAATGATATATTTGTGAAGTAAGATTAGACACTCACTGCAAACCATTATTCATTAGTCAAAGAATATACCTCCATTAAGCTAGCAGAACCACTTTGAATTTTTCAATTTTTTCTTCGGCCATAATTTTAGGCTAATTTAAGGCTAATTTATTACCCTATTGCCGAATTTATTGCTCTTCGATTTATGTAAAAAAACGTGGGTTCTGCTAGCTTAACGTTAAGCTAGCAGAACCACTTCGTAAATAAAAGTTCAATCACAAAACTAATTATGCCATAATTTAAGGCTAATTTTAGGCTCCAATACTAGCCTGTTGCCAATTTTTTCGCACATTGTTTTTTTAAAAAAATCATGGGTTTTGCTACCTAGCTTAACCGTTAAGCTAGCAGAACCAAATCTCAAATAGAAGGAATATAAAAATATTGAGTACACCATAATTTAAGGCTAATTTTAGGCTCTTCGTTGAACCTATTATCGATTTTTTTGAAAATTATTTTCTGCAAAAAAAATCCCAAATCCAACATGAACATGACAAACCAGTAGCAAACCAAAAAAAACTTCAATCACAAACCTGATTATGCCATAATTTCAGACTAATTTAAGGCTCTGATCCTAGCCTATTGCCAATTTTTTCGCACACTGATTTAAAAAAAAATCATGGGTTTCGCTAGCTTAACCATTAAGCTAACATGTGAACATGACAAACCAATAGCAAACCAAACAAAGTTCAATCACAAAACTAATCATGCCATAATTTAGGGCTAATTTTAGGCTCTAATCCTAGCCTATCGCCAATTTTCTCGCACATTGTTTTTTTAAAACAATCATGGGTTTTGCTAGCTTAACCGTTAAGCTAGCAGAACCAAATCTCAAATAGAAGGAATATAAGAATATTGAGTGCACCATAATTTAAGGCTAATTTAAGGCTCTTCGTTGAACCTATTATCGATTTTTTGAAAAATCATTTTCTGCAAAAAATTTCCAAATCCAACATGAACATGACAAACCAATAGCAAACCAAAAAAACTTCAATCACAAACCTAATTATGCCATAATTTCAGGCTAATTCAAGGCTCTGATCCTAGCCTATTGCGAATTTTTTCGCACACTGTTTTTTTAAAACAATCATGGGTTTTGCTAGCTTAACCGTTAAGCTAGCAGAACCAAATCTCAAATAGAAGGAATATAAGAATATTGAGTGCACCATAATTTAAGGCTAATTTTAGGCTCTTCGTTGAACCTACTATCGATTTTTTTGAAAATTATTTTCTGCAAAAAATTTCCCAAATCCAACATGAACATGACAAACCAGTAGCAAACCAAAAAAAACTTCAATCACAAACCTGATTATGCCATGATTTCAGACTAATTTAAGGCTCTGATCCTAGCCTATTGCCAATTTTTTCGCACATTGCTTTTTAAAACAATCATGGGTTTTGCTAGCTTAACCGTTAAGCTAGCAGAACCAAATCTCAAATAGAAGGAATATAAGAATATTGAGTGCACCATAATTTAAGGCTAATTTTAGGCTCTTCGTTGAACCTATTATCGATTTTTTTGTTGATCATTTTCTGCAAAAAAATTCCCAAATCCAACATGAACATGACAAACCAATAGCAAACCAAAAGAACTTCAATCACAAACCTAATTATGCCATAATTTCAGGCTAATTCAAGGCTCTGATCCTAGCCTATTGCGAATTTTCTCGCACACTGTTTTTTATAAAAAATCATGGGTTTTGCTAGCTTAACCGTTAAGCTAGCAGAACCAAATCTCAAATAGAAGGAATATAAGAATATTGAATGCACGATAATTTAAGGCTAATTTTAGGCTCTTCGTTGAACCTATTATCGATTTTTTGAAAAATCATTTTTTGCAAAAAATTCTCAAATCCAACATGAACATGACAAACCAATAGCAAACCAAAAAAACTTCAATCACAAACCTAATATGCCATAATTTCAGGCTAATTTGAGGCTCTGATCCTACCCTATTGCCAATTTTTTCGCACATTGTTTTTTTAAAAAAATCATGGGTTTTGCTAGCTTAACCGTTAAGCTAGCAGAACCAAATCTCAAATAGAAGGAATATAAAAATATTGAGTACACCATAATTCAAGGCTAATTTTAGGCTCTTCGTTGAACCTATTATCGATTATTTTGAAGATCATTTTCTGAAAAAAATTTCCCAAATCCAACATGAACATGACAAACCAGTAGCAAACCAAAAAAAAACTTCAATCACAAACCTGATTATGCCATAATTTCAGACTAATTTAAGGCTCTGATCCTAGCCTATTGCCAATTTTTTCGCACACTGATTTTAAAAAAAATCATGGGTTTCGCTAGCTTAACCATTAAGCTAGCAGAACCAAATCTCAAATAGAAGGAATATAAGAATATTGAGTTTTTACTCGGTTTAAACGATGTTATTTAGATGTCAATGATTATTATCATTATCATTTAGAAATTTTATCCAATGTTCATGTTATATTGTGATAGTTTTTTCAAAAGCAGCTTCAGCAGTTCAAATTAACCGGGTGCACGTGGCGGACATTCTTTGACCGAGGCTCTCCAGCTGACTTTGGAAAGGCCTCGGGAAAGGCTATACTTAGGAAATTGTTTTATTTTTCATTTATTTCATGAATAAAGATTTTTTTAAAGTTAATAGAGCTACATTTATTTATTCCTTATTCCTATAGTTTTCTAGCTGAAAATAATAATTATTTCAAATGTAATTTCCTCGATAACTTCCTTCCATGTAGCATGAATGTTTTGTTTTTTTCGAGGGTTGTCTGATATCATGATATATATGTATATTCAAATATCCGATATATGTTTATCGATATATTATATCCGATATATATCAATTTGGATATTTATTTATATTATAAAATTAATTTTGAATTATTTCATCTGTTTTATGCTTGGAGAATTAAAGATATTTTTTTAAATTCGAAATTACTTATTCGTAAATGAGATATAATGAAAGGTACATTTTCATTACAATTACAATTAATTTAATACTATCACAATGACAAATTTCAGTGCTCTAATGAAAAGGCATGTAAAATGTTGGGAAAAAAAACAAAAATTGAGAGTCAAAAGCGAGTCAAGCGAGTCCAAAAGAGGCCAACTATTAAATATACTATTCTCTCCAAGCGACAGCGATAGTGGCTTTTTCCTGCCGCTTAACAGGCAGAAAACGTGTACTTTTACTGCCTAGGCAGAAAAAGTTTGTTGCTATGCAACGTTCCGAAAAATTCTAATGAAATAAGTAATCAAAATTGACACTTACATTGGGTGAACACAAAATGATGGGGTTTTCAATAAAAAAATTACACTAAATTTAGAACCAATTGGTTCTATATCATTTGGTGAAAAAAATTCTATGTTTCACACGGTTGCAAATGTAGATTGACTGCCTAGTAAAACAAATAACTATTTCTATTATAAAACAGTAAAACAAATATTTAAATGACTGGTTGGAAAATCAACCCAAACAGTTTTTTTTAGTCTAGGCATTGTAAACTTTTCATTGATAAAACATACGGCAAGATATTTCTCCTTTCAATCAGAAATCGAAACTAAATAGAACTAATGAAAACGCCATGCGTAAAGGTCACGAAAGGTGGTTCAGGGTCAACGTCTCGGAAAGACGGGGAATCACCGCAGCATAATACGCTGTTGCCGGTGCAGCGCCAGCGTGGCCATATTTTTATACTGATCAATAAAATTTTAGAAAAAATATGTTGGTATATAATAGATATCAGCATAAATATCGTTACTTAAATATCATGATATTTATCAAGATATATATCCGGATATTTATCACTGATACCTATATATCCTGCTAACCTAGGTTTTTTCATCTAAAGAAGTTGCATCAAGACTATATAAGAGTATCAAGACGTTTTTAAACAAAACACTCATTCCTAGAGCTAATCCGCAGTCATTTGCAAGAAAAAGTATTTATAATCAGGGTAACAATCATGGTAAAATCGAATATTTTCAACATCAACATAAAATCTTGCATACGAAATACCTATCTGGAATCATGAATGTATTTCTCACAGAATTGACTGAGCAATCATTATATCATCATAATATAATTAACGTCGTGGCATATAGCCAGGAAAGTAGTTGTTTTCTGTTGAATACACCGAGAAAGAATTAATATTTTCATCGCATGGAGAATGCGAATTCTCAATTTATTTCTTTATATATATATATATATATATAATTATATATCAATTTTTGTGTTCATGAATATATCTGAGAATATCCCTTTTCAATAACCTCAGAATAGCCATAAATTATGGTGTACTCAATATTCCTATATTTCCTCTATTTTAGATTTGGTTCTCATAGCTAGCAAAACCCATAGTTGTTTTGAAAAAGCAATGTGCAAAAAAATCGGCAATAGGCTAGGAGTAGAGCTTTCAATTAGCCTCAAATTATAGTATAATGCATTTCATGATCAAACTTTTTTTGATTTGCTAATGTATTGTCATGTTCATGTTGGATTACATTATGAACAAAAGAATCGATAACAAAAAGTCTCAAAATAGTCTTAAACTATGATGTATCCAATATCCCCATATTCCTTTCATATCCCTATTTTAGATTTGGTTCTGCTACCTTAATGGTTGAGCTAGCAACACCCATGATTTTTTTAAAAACAATGTGCAAAAAAATTGGCATTAGGCTGGGATTAAAGCCTTAGACCAGCCTTAAATTATGGCATAATTAGTTTTGTGATTGAATTTTTTTTTGGTTTGCTATTGGTTTGTCATGTTCATGTTGGATTTGGTAATTTTTTGCAGAAAATGATCAACAAAAAAATCGATGATAGGTTCGATGAAGAGCCTAAAATTAGCCTTAAATTATGGTGTACTCAATATTTTTATATTCCTTCTATTTGAGATTTGGTTCTGCGTTCTCCTAGCTTAACGGTTAAGCTAGCAAAACCCATGATTTTTTTAAAAAAACAATGTGCGAAAAAATTGGCAATAGGGTAGGATCAGAGCCTCAAATTAGCCTGAAATTATGGCATATTAGGTTTGTGATTGAAGTTTTTTTGGTTTGCTATTGGTTTGTCATGTTCATGTTGGATTTGAGAATTTTTTGCAGGAAATGATTTTTCAAAAAATCGATAATAGGTTCAACGAAGAGCCTAAAATTAGCCTTAAATTATGGTGCATTCAATATTCTTATATTCCTTCTATTTGAGATTTGGTTCTGCTAGCTTAACGGTTAATCTAGCAAAACCCATGATTTTTTATAAAAAACAGTGTGCGAGAAAATTCGCAATAGGCTAGGATCAGAGCCTTGAATTAGCCTGAAATTATGGCATAATTAGGTTTGTGATTGAAGTTTTTTTGGTTTGCTATTGGTTTGTCATGTTCATGTTGGATTTGGGAATTTTTTGCAGAAAATGATCAACAAAAAAATCGATAATAGGTTCAACGAAGAGCCTAAAATTAGCCTTAAATTATGGTGCACTCAATATTCTTATATTCCTTCTATTTGAGATTTGGTTCTGCTAGCTTAACGGTTAAGCTAGCAAAACCCATGATTGTTTTAAAAAACAATGTGCGAAAAAATTGGCAATAGGCTAGGATCAGAGCCTTAAATTAGTCTGAAATTATGGCATAATCAGGTTTGTGATTGAAGTTTTTTTTGGTTTGCTACTGGTTTGTCATGTTCATGTTGGATTTGGGAAATTTTTTGCAGAAAATGATCTTCAAAATAATCGATAATAGGTTCAACGAAGAGCCTAAAATTAGCCTTAAATTATGGTGCACTCAATATTCTTATATTCCTTCTATTTGAGATTTGGTTCTGCTAGCTTAACGGTTAAGCTAGCAAAACCCATGATTGTTTTAAAAAACAATGTGCGAAAAAATTGGCAATAGGCTAGGATCAGAGCCTTCAATTAGTCTGAAATTATGGCATAATCAGGTTTGTGATTGAAGTTTTTTTTGGTTTGCTACTGGTTTGTCATGTTCATGTTGGATTTGGGAATTTGTTTGCAGAAAATGATTTTCAAAAAAATCGATAATAGGTTCAACGAAGAGCCTAAAATTAGCCTTAAATTATGGTGCACTCAATATTCTTATATTCCTTCTATTTGAGATTTGGTTCTGCTAGCTTAACGGTTAAGCTAGCAAAACCCATGATTTTTTATAAAAAACAGTGTGCGAGAAAATTCGCAATAGGCTAGGATCAGAGCCTTGAATTAGCCTGAAATTATGGCATAATTAGGTTTGTGATTGATGTTTTTTTGGTTTGCTATTGGTTTGTCATGTTCATGTTGGATTTGGGAATTTTTTGCAGAGAATGATTTTTCAAAAAATCGATAATAGGTTCAACGAACAGCCTAAAATTAGCCTTAAATTATGGTGCACTCAATATTCTTATATTCCTTCTATTTGAGATTTGGTTCTGCTAGCTTAACGGTTAAGCTAGCAAAACCCATGATTGTTTTAAAAAACAATGTGCGAAAAAATTGGCAATAGGCTAGGATTAGAGCCTAAAATTAGCCCTAAATTATGGCATAATCAGTTTCGTGATTGAACTTTGTTTGGTTTGCTATTGGTTTGTCATGTTCACATGTTAGCTTAACGGTTAAGGTAGCGAAACCCATGATTTTTTTTAAATCAGTGTGCGAAAAAATTGGCAATAGGCTAGGATCAGAGCCTCAAATTAGTCTGAAATTATGACATAATCAGGTTTGTGATTGAAGATTTTTTTGGTTTGCTACTGGTTTGTCATGTTCATGTTGGATTTGGGAAATTTTTTGCAGAAAATGATTTTCAAAAAAATCGATAATAGGTTCAACGAAGAGCCTAAAATTAGCCTTAAATTATGGTGTACTCAATATTTTTATATTCCTTCTATTTGAGATTTGGTTCTGCTAGCTTAACGGTTAAGCTAGCAAAACCCATGATTTTTTTAAAAAAACAATGTGCGAAAAAATTGGCAATAGGTTAGGATTGGAGCCTTAAATTAGCCTTAAATTATGACATAATTAGTTTTGTGATTGAACTTTTATTTACGAAGTGGTTCTGCTAGCTTAACGTTAAGCTAGCAGAACCCACGTTTTTTTACATAAATCGAAGAGCAATAAATTCGGCAATAGGGTAATAAATTAGCCTTAAATTAGCCTAAAATTATGGCCGAAGAAAAAATTGAAAAATTCAAAGTGGTTCTGCTAGCTTAATGGAGTTAGAGAATATTGACAATCACATGTCTCTTCATTTTAGAAACAGTTAGTTTGTTGCACAAAAGGAATAAAATCATTTGTTCTCCAATAGTTATAATACCACGAACTGTCATAATATTCAACTCCCAATACCAAAATCGACGCTAACTAAGAATTCGCTCATTTATGAAAGCTTGAAGATTTACAATCATTCACCAAATTACCTAAAGAAGATGCAAAAACGACATATGATTTAGGAAGTCTGTTAAAAATTTGCCTCAATAAGGCTGAGAGTTTTTTTCACCTACACCTTTTTTGTTTTATATATTATGTGTTCGTTTATATAGAATTATAATATATTTATACATTTTTTATTTGATTTCGATTTTATAACTGTTTTTTTTCTCATGTGGCTTTGTCGATAAGATTCCTTTTTCTTGGACAATAAAGCATTCTTTGATTTGATTTGATATACAAATGATTATTTTTTTATTATGGTACCCTATTTTGCCACAGCGTTATTAAATAATTTAACTTTCAAATACACGCGAGTTTTGAAATTACTACGGCACAACATCAGCATGAACATCAAAAACCCGATATTTAGGAAGTCTATTTTCCTCGTGATATTCCAATTTTCCAAACTATGGGTCGGGCAAGAGTACGTTGTAACATCAAACAAATCACAAATTATACCTTTTGTTTCACATAATTAGTTCCCATGTCCATGTTTGGCAGCATTGATACCTGATGTATTTATGATTTCAAAGTGAACCAATGAAAAAAATAGGACAAAGTATTCGTGGATAACTGGTTCTTAAAACACTTGCTCTATCTCGCAATACTTCAATATCGAGTTTAAAATACAGGGTGTCCCAAAATTGCTGGGACACAGAGCTACCACGTATAAAAGAGGTGAACTTTGAACCCTTCTCACAGACAAACGGTACATTTTGGCACATAAATAAATTGGGTCCAATCAACTTATTTTGACCTCCTATATACACGTGGTAGCTCTGTGCCCCAGCAATTTTGGGACACCCTGTATTCTATTTCCAATTGTTCACTAAACTATAGCCAGTGTCTCTGGTACTATACCTATGGCAATACATTTTTGACATATCGAAATTGCTGAAACATCTCTAGAATACTAAGGCTTTGTTCAAAAAATTACACCAATACTCATGCCCCTTTTCGGATATAATTTTTTTTTTATAATTCTTTAGGAATTGGTATAGACGATACTTTCGTGATGTTGGCGGCTTGGAGGAGAACTTCCATCAAATCCCCTGTACCAGTCAGAATGGCCCAGATGTTGAGCGAGGCAGCTGTTTCCATAACCATCACCTCCGTCACTGACTTTTTCAGTTTTTGCATCGGAATTTTCAGCCCTTTTCCTTCCGTTACAATTTTTTGTATTTACTCCGGTAAGAACTTGAAAAATATAAAGAAAAATCTCCAAACCCTAGAGCTATAGAGCCTAGTAAAAATGAAGTAGCCCAGACAGCACAAAGTGATTCTGAGAACGTTCTCAGAATATTCCCGTGAATGATTAAGAATAATCTCAGAATGTTCTCACAAGATGCATCTGAGAATCCTCAGAATAATCTAGGAATATTCTCAGTATACAGGGTGTTTCAATGACCGGGGATCAATATGGGATGAATATATACGAAGCCCTGGAAGGGACACCTAAAATAAAAAAAATTAAAATTTCAAAATTCTGAGTTATAACTCGAAATTTTAAAGCTCTCACTTTATCGGAATTTTATTACTCAGAATTTTGAATCCAATATCCCGATTTATAACTCGGTTAGGGTAGGAAGAAAGTAATTGAAGAAAATAGCGGTAAATTTTAAATTCTCATTGCTACCGTAGATGAGCATGACAGCCCAGATTAGTAAGCACCACTACTTGCCTTACTCACTTATTATTATAAGCTCTGAATTCAGTGATTTATTTTTTTGCGATTTCTTATTGTATAATATTGTTATGTATCATTATATATTGTATTATATCCTGTGACCTGATTTGGTTGAGTTTGAGTAGCTTTTAGCTAGACAATATGGATTTGTTCTCATCCCGTTAATAAAGCCGATTCATTATTATTATTGCTCATTGATTTTTATCAAAATCAGCGAAACGGAATTTGAACAATCATTGAAAAATCGATTTCTTCCTGAAAAATTTGGCTCCCTGTATTTCAAAAACGAAGCAAATTAGGACATAGGTAATATATGTTTATAGGAAACAAGAATATTTCATCTATCGATGAATGAATAACATATTCTTTAAATATAAACATACTTGGAGAACATGCCTAGAATATTCGAACAATCCATTCTATGATCATTCTTTAATAACATTCATAGAATATACCAGATAATTAATTCTAGATGACATGTTCTATGAATATCCTCATAAAACATTCCATGAAAATTTAAAACATCCTCATCATATTCTATGAATATTCTTCGAAATATTCTGAAAACGTTGTGAGAACATCCATAGTATATTCTGAGTTGTCTGGGAGTTAGCTAGCTAGCAAATAATTAGAAAACCTTGAGTTTCTGGAAATACTGAAATGTCAAAATGAATCTGAGATTGTGTAATTTGTTTTCAATATTTAAAAATGCAACCCATAGGCAATAATGAAATGGATTTTTTTTCTATTTGCGACTACGAATAATTGCCATTCGAACAAAATGGTGGATATTCTACAAATTCGATATTTTTCAGGGGCTGCTACTATTCTATTGTTCATATGGCACCTGACGTTTTTTGCTGCATGTGTAGCAATATCAGGATATTGTGAACAGAAGAACCTCCATTCCGTTTTCTGCTTCAAGGTGCAGCCAAAATCAAAATCACGTGAGTAGCGAAATTTTTGCATATCAGCTTATCACAAGAACCACTACTGCCTATTTTTGACAGTAAACTTTTGGTACTTTACATTTAAAAACCTTGGTCCCTAGTGAAATAGGTACACCTCCTCAACAACGCTAAAAAAGATCGTTTTCGAGATATTTAAAATGTTCTATATCGATACATGTTTTCGGAAAATAATTTTTCGATAAACATTTCATAGAAGAAAAAAAATAGTTTATTTCGACGAGACCAATGACATACTTAGTTTTTGTTATGTGCTCAGCAACTTCACTTAGCGCCCTAAGATGGATCGATATAGAAAATTGAGAATATAAATCTCGATAAATCTGAAATGATCACCTCCAGCGTTGTTGCGGAAGTGTATACCTTGGTGAAGGTGTAGGATTTGTAGGAATAAGGTTTTTTCAAGCAAAGTACCAAAAGTTCACTGTAAAAAATGCTATGGCAATTTGAAATAAATAATGACATAAAAAAAAATTCGGGTACCAAAGTTTGTGCAAATAACTTATTTTTTGCAGAAGTTAATTTTGAAGAGCGAACAAACAAACTCAATTTCAACACCATGTATCTCCGAAACGAAGTATTTTCGGACTCGAGTTTATATAGACTTTTTTACCGAAAGATTGTCTCAGAAATACGTTGCCTGAATATCCAAACGTAGTTATGTTGCACTCTGTATATTTGAAAAACCATGAATAAACGCGCATGGGCAAAATTCAATTTCCAAATTTTGTATATTACTAAGATATGGATAATATTTGAGATCTCAACATGCGATTTGTGTCATTCCCTGAAATCAATTTAATTATGACGTTCGTATTTCAACACAATATAGTTAAAAAATTAAGATTGTTATTCACGAATTCACATTTTATATAGACATCACACTCAGTACATACGATGATGATATAATATTATTTTCCACTAGGACGAGACGATATACCGTGTGTAGAATTAAGGACATCAAGGTAGTAGGCCTGATCTCGGTTTCTTTCCACTCCAAATATCGAAATAACTGAATAACTCGAAACCTCATAATGTTGAAAAGTGTTACGTTGGCACGACTACCTTTTTCTACTTTCTACAGTAGCGTAACCATCAGAGTGCAACGGGGTTGTACCCGCTAGTCGAATTTACGTCACATATATATTTTACATTGATCTTTCCATGAAAAAATAGTATTTGCGACAATTATTTATTATTATTGAAATCATCGCAAATATATTTTTTTCAATTCGTAAAATGATCACCTCTCAAAAATTCTAGATCTCGATCCCAGAGCTTTTAGATCAGCAGATATTTGGGTTATCTAACATACAACAAAATTTCTGAAAATTGTGGAATGTATGAAAGCAACAACTCTCCAAAATAATGAAATCGAATCACGCTCATGTCAAACAATCTCTAATATAATGTTTTTTTCGGCTCATCTTATAGATCTCTTCATTCTCAATTTAGTGATATATTGTACTAGTTATTTAGCAAGAAATTCATCAATGTTGATTTTTTCTTGAATGATTATTTGAAATGACTGTTATCACTTGCTCTTTCTTACCTGATATCGCCTATTCAGACTTCGTATGTAGCTCTGATTTTTCAAGGAATAACTATGTACAGTGAAAAAATTACACCAGTTCACATCAGCTAACACCCTTGAGCTCCTCATTATTTTGGTGAGAATTAAAACTGATATTTTTAACACCATCATAGGGTAACATTCGTTCTTACATATACAGTCAAGACCAAAGTGGTGTACTATACAATCATTTGGTGATTATTTTGACACTGTATCTGTTGCGTTTTTGCTTTTACTGATGATATTGTTATGCGAATATTTTTCGGATATTTTTCTGTTGTGAAAAACACACTTATTGAGTGTTATTACGCTGAGAAGCGGTGCTTCCTTGTCTGCATCTGATGAGTGTTGAATAACACGACTCTGAACAACCAACATTAGTATTATGGGTATTATGGAATGATCCATTGTAGTGAGAGTTGAGACTTACAGAACATCTCTGAGCTGATACTATTTGAAGGCTGCCGAGAGACGAGCGTTATTAGTGTCGCCATCTATCAAGATATTTATTCAATATTTTTCGGTGCACAAAATTCACGCATTGATATTCAATTTTATGTTTCAATCTGGTTCGATATAAGTAGGTACTCTATATAGCTTCGCAATCTCAAAATCATCATATAATAATTGATGAATCAAGTAAAAATGTATTTAATGCATTATTTTTCGCGAAATCATCCGTTCTTATTGTCATCTATCAATCTAGATACCAGAGTTCGTGGATGATGATATACCTACACAATTTTCATATATTCTCCAATGAGTTTAGGCTTTTCAGGGGGTAATTTCAACATCGGAAACATTGTTTATTCACATGGGAGGATGCAAGACGGTTTTGATTTATTCGTGATTGGTCAGGGAGTAAGTAGGTGATAATTTCATATATAATAAGTGTATTTTTTGCATTAACTTGACTGAAAGCACATCAAAAATAATTCCTTTTTATCCTTTTGTTGTTTCTTCTGAATGTGATTCTTCACGATGAAGGTGTGAGTTGACACCACTTTACACGGTATTATCAGATTTCTAATAATATTGATATTATATTCCTTATCAAGTGTTGAATCAATTGGAGTTATTTCCGAAATCCACTCGATTGAATTTACTCCCGAACATTTTTCACTGTGTTTGAAGCAGTCTTACACATTTCCTTTTTTTAAACTTTGTTCATAACGCAATATCGATCGAATCGTATAGTCAAATTGAGAATGTGGAATTCTATAAAATCAACCGAAAAAGAGAGGGGGCAATTTGGAAAACCAAAGTAAAGTGAGGTTACTAGTATATTGTTTGAATCAAAGGTGATTTGATCTCATCATCTTGGAGAACTTTTGCTCCCATAAATTTGAAAAATTTCCGAAATGATTTTGTATGTTTGATAACCTAAATATCTGCTGGCCTATAAAAGCTCTGGGACACCCGGTATATGTATGTCGTTACGGGCAGTCCAGCGTTCTTGTTGATATATGAAATATCGTGAATTTCAATAATTATTCAAAGAACATACAGAGCACTGGGGAAAAAATGGTTTGTAACAGTAACCTAGTTCGGGTTATGACTTCAGAATAAAGAAATGAAATGTCTCACTAAAATAGGTCCATTTATCTAGACAAACGCTTCCATTCCTGCAACAGTCTTGGCGAGTGAATATTTTCAAATACTTCAAATGCTACGCCGCTGATGGCATTACGTGAATTGTATTCCTTATACCTAAAAGGTATCCGGTAAAACGCGAAATTATTATAAACTTTCTTTAATATCTGGGTATTCCGCTTTGCCGATGTTATATCACCGCGACCTAACAAATATTGGACACTAGACAAGAAATGGAAGCAAGAAAGCGAAGAACAAACTCATTTCACTCGATTTTGGGATTCGAACCGACAGTACCTTGCCATCCTGAACGGCTGTCTAGCGAACTTTTTTTCATCTCTTGGGGCGCACGCAAGGGGATCCCTATAATGCTCGGAGATCATCGTGAGTACATATAGAAAGGATAAGGAGAGCGCCTTAGATCGCTAGGATACCTTGGATAGGGCATGAATTTCAGATTATATAGGAAGATGTGAAAAATTTCCAAGGCAGAACTTTAGATTTAACCATCAGCTCAGAAAATAACCTCAACAATTACAGGGTAAATAGGGATTATCTTCCTTTTGTCAAAGAAGACGCGTACCATCCTGCCCTTGACATTTTTATAATCCTAGATAAGGGTACAAAATTCAATGCAGATATCCCAAGAGTCTCGAGATACAATTATTAAAGAGCAGATTTTCTGAAATTGAGTCATAACATTCGAAATTCCGATTGGGAAAGTGTTTTATCAAAATAACTAATAAAATGTGAAGTGTGGTATAAAGTTATCGACGATTGTGTACCTAAAACCGTAGCACTGACTAATTTCAAATGTTTCCCAATATGGTTCACAATCGAATTTAGAACCCTGTGGAAAGAAAAGGAGGATTATAGGAAATTAAGATCATCATCTAATTTTTATAGAGGTAAGTATGCTGAAACGAAAAAGATGCTAAAATAGTTGATTAGATTAGAGGAAAAGAAATATGTTAAAACGGTAGAAGAAGATATAACAACAGATACAAGAAAATTTTGATACCTACATCCTCAACGGTGAAAATATTGATGAAGGGGAAACTGCTAATGCGTTCGCAAGTTTTTTTCTTCAGTATATTCTTCAGAATAATCTGAGTTTTGAAAGTAATATTAACGATACATGTAATGAAACATTTGTTTTCGATGAAATTTTCGTTTGAGGTTACAATAGCGCCCTGAAAACACTAAAACCTAAGAAAGCATTAGGGGAGGATGGACTTCCACCATATTTACTGAAAACCTTTGTTCCACATTGATAACCTTATTATTTCTACGAATACTTTTTCTTCGCATTGGAAGACATCAATAGTCACACCGATTTTCAAATCCGGTAATAAATTGGACATAGCAAATTTTCGACCTATATCCATAATGTGCGCCCCAGTCAAATTATTTGAACAAATTGTTTATCGCAATTTATTAGACCAAAATTTGAGTTTGGTGCACACATATGGTTGGTTGAATTCCATACTTACTAGACTAGGGCAGTTAGAGAAGGTACAAAACAAATTTCTTAGTTTCATCTATTTCAAGAAATATAATAAACGAGCTGATTATAAAACTGTTCAAACTCAGCAACTGGGGAATGAACAGACCAAGCAAACATTGGCTGTGTCAAGTCATTCGTTCGACCACAGTGGTGATGCCAGGATGGCCAATGGCTGACTCGACTCCCATCAAAAGTTAACGTGGTAACTTTGTGGGCAGGTTAGAAACGTGACCGATATTCCCAAACAGCTGGTTGGTCGAACCAATGGTCAGACTTCATACTGAACGTATGTGCCTGGTCAAACCACAGACTTGACACAGCCATTGTTGTGCAACAGTTGAACAACAGGTAGGCAACTGTTAGCTGACTTGTTTCCGTGGGGAGAAAACATTTTCGACAAACTGTTGGGCAACATCGACCAGCTTGCTTTCTCCGGTGTTTGTCCAGTGTTCGTTCAGTCAGGCACCATGAGCGACGAAGAAGATGCGTCTACACTGCAGACACAGTAAGCTCTCTACTGTGCTGCAGACGCTGTGTGCGCACTGTTGGGCCACATCTCCTTCGAAGTACCGCCGCGGGAGCGAACACCGACCATCAGTTCGGCAACAGCTGCACAACTGCTGTGCAACTGTTGTGAACGTGTTTCACACACTGTGTAAACTGTATTTTTTTCGAGTGTTGTTCCACTGTTGCACAACGATGTTTGCTTGGTCTGTTCCCGTTTGCACCTTAAATAATCAAGGAATCGTACTTCTTCAGACGACAGATGCTTCTTGTACCGCTGGTTCTGCAGCGGCGGCGTCGATCGGAACGACATGGACAATCCCGAGGACAACGAAGAACACGGCATGATGGTGTTCTTCAGGGATCACTTCGCAGCCGCCCTCAACAACGGCTGCGTCAAGTTCCTGGTCGTCCTGGTCTTCCTGGCGTACCTGGGAGGTGCTGGATATGGGATCACCAGGATCGAGGAGGGACTGGAGAGGAGGAAGGTGGCCAAGAGCGATTCGTACGCCATCGAGTTCTTCGATAGGGAGGACGATTACTACAAGGAGTTTCCGTACAGGTAATTGATTCTTTCACGGTGAAATACAAGAGTTTTTCTACCACTCGTTAAAGCACTTAGAGGACTTTAGTGCTTGCGAGCACTGTGCTCCCGAGCTCTTTTTTCAACCAGTGCTTAGTGCTTCGAGCGTTTCACGGAAAGACTTATTAGTGCTTGGTAATCCCGAAGAAAACATTTTACGTCTCGGGAGCACTTTGCTGGTTTACTAAGCACCAAGCCTTTCCATACTTACTACTTATTGTCGAAATATGAAAACGTGACCGGTAGCACCTTCATTCAAAAGGAACTTTTGATCGATTCCATATATTCATCTTCGAAAAATCACAGACTTGTTTTGAATGTGTGATGGAGCACAGAACTCAAAGTGCAGTACACGCAGTATAGATAGTTAAGTTCTATCAAATGATATTTTATCACTGCATTGAAAACTGGGGGTCAAGGTAGGCGGCTGAATTGACAACCAAAAAGTTTTTCAAGTATCCATTTCAAAATGCTCGCTATGTCGAATTACTTTGCGAAAGTGTTCAGTAATCGCGAGCATTTTGTCAATAAAATTACTTTATGCACTAGCGGGCCGTAAAGTGCACTTTATGGCCCGGTTTTGCGGGCGTTAAGTTGCAATTTACCGCCCGCGGGCTCATTATGGCCCACGGGCCGTAAAGTACACTTTACCGCCCGCTGTTCTCAGTCACCTTATATCCACATACCAATTTATGAGAAACCTATATGATCATATTCCTTCTTCTTCATCCGATTCCATAGTCTCGCTATTATTATTATCAATAATTTTACTTTTCAATCAAAGAATGACAATTCAGCTCGTTTATTGGATGTATTGCTATCGAACAACCATCAGATTGATTGACAACGTCAAAATATGTTAGGTTTATATACTGGGTATGCATATTGTAAAATTCTGAAGAATGAATCTCTTCTAGAGCTGAAAGAGTCTTACTATTACGATAATTGCAATATTCGTACGATAATTTTCATATATGTAAATCATCCATAAACATCACACTTCTCTTGATTACTAAAATTATACGTAACAAATTAGATTCTGGGGAATATTAGTTTATCGAAATCTATAGTCATTACTTATGAGTCAGAAAATAAACCACTTGTGCATAGTGCTAGCGCCATCGGGCCATTATTCACGCCACAGGCCATAAACGCCTACTTTACGCCCTTAATACATAAATAACTATTAGTGCTCGAGATTCCGGAGCACTTTTCAAGAGTGCTTAGTGCTTAGTGGTCGACGCCCTTTTGGCGACTTTTCATCAGTGCTCGACAGAGCTCTGTTACAATTATACTACTTTTCATGGCGTGAAGTGAGTTTCCTTATTTTATGAACAACCTCTATTATAATTACCCCAAATTCTTTGTTCTGATGCGAGATTCGCAGGAACGGCACTGAATCTAGTAGTTAATTATTAATAATGACTTGTCATAGTGACAAATTTCAGTTTCACAGAACTATGATAAATAAATGAATGATAAATTGCTAGTGGTGAAAAAAATTGTATATATACCTTGGTAGTAATAGTATATTATTCACCAAGCATATAATGAGCGCTATTATTCACGAATGTTGAGTTTAGGTCACGAGCGTAGTGAAAATCATTATTTTGTAATAGTGACCAGTCATTGATTTTAATGTCGATCTACAATTATTTTACTTTACATAATATTATTGCTTCTGCTATATTATATAGTGTATTCCTATTTCGTTTACCACTGTTCTGCCCTAACCTATTTCACTGCTAGATTCCTCTGCATATAACATTTTCATTTTTCACAGATGAAAAAAAAAGTAAAAGTAGGCCTCACAGAAGATTTTTTTCTACTTCTTGAATCAACAGATACATTTTCACTATCTGAGAAATCATACAGGAAGCAACAAAAAGTGTATGAAACTAAGATGGGACACCATTTATTTTCTCTTTATTGATTGAAGAGACTTCCTGAATGTGCAAAAATGTCAAGTTTTTGAATACTTGTCAAAATAAGACTGCAACGAAATCGATCAAATGTCATTATGCCAAATACAGAACAGGGCACAGCCTACTAGTTCAAAATAATTTCATTATGCCACAAATACATGAAAATGGTTTTTATTTTTTCACGCGAAAACAGTTTGTCGGACAGAAATAATGCGGGATGTCAAATCATTGCAAAACAATTGAGGATTTAAAAAATGATTTTCATTTGCCGAAGAAACAAGGGCGTGAAATATTTTTTCAGAAAAATCTCCAGTATACATCCCATACGGACGACACTGGTGAAAATATTGAAAAATCTCCTACAACAAAAAATGCCTATTGGTGCTCAGAAGGTGCATGTTTGATTTCATGCAAATATCTAGAACAGTATTGAAGTTATGATAAGGAAACACATTTTGTAGGTTTAGTAAAGGGCATATTAATATGTTTATCTGATGGCATGTCATAATGACAACGTTATGTCACTCAATTTTTATGACATAAGGAAGCTCATTATGGTACTAAGTACCATAATGAAATTCTATAAGGAATCATGTAATGGTTTGATCAAAAAAGTTTATTCAAAATGCATAACTATGTACAAAACTATTTATTATAAATGGTAAAAGAACAATTACTACAATTTGTAATATTAATATAATGGCAAAGCACAGCTCACTCACCTACTAATATTTGAAACTACACAATACTCACTCCTTTAAAAATAGTTGTCATTGTGACATGTCGAAAATGCAGTTTTTAATTTTTCGAAAATGTATTGATATAAATGCCATCAGATAAAATTTTGTATGTAAAACGAATCATAAACAATCATTATGGCACACGCCGTGTTATCACGACTTGTATACCATAATGATCGTCTTTATGATCCTTATTACATAAATAACTATTATATGAACTTTTCTTCTTGAAATGAGCTGGGGAACCGCATATCCTTTATTTTCAGCCATCAATTAAATCTTACCCACATATTTTTTTCAGAGTTCAAGTAATAGTCTCAGGCGAACACGACTATTCCGATCCGAAAATCCAAAAGCAAGTCGAAAATCTGACGGCAACTTTCGAAAACACCACTTACATATCGAACAACACCTTGTACACGGAGTCGTGGCTAAGAAGTTTCATCCAGTATACCGAACGAAACAAGGACTATCTCAATTTGACAGTCGACACCAAGAAAGGTTTCACTGATGCATTGAAAGAGGTAAACAAACAGGCGTACAAAAACAAAAACAAAAATAAATAAGAGCGGGTGAGCCAAGTTGGTAACTTTCAAGACCAAATTCTATTATTTATTCTAGTTGAAAGACAATTGTTTTCATGAACGAATAATTAATTTGTTAGATCACAGATTTTGAGAGCATTTGACGTGGTAGAAAATAGTTATTTATGTACTGTACTATTACTCAATTATTATCGAGTACATTTATTGATAACACCTGGTTTCTAAGAACGAAATTGTCAGATCCACCTTCGGCTAATTTGAATAAATCTCATTATCATTATCATTATCTAATACGCGAGGATATCGTGGCGCCTTCTTTCCATTTCACTGGCACCCCATACGGAATACGAGGGCAGCCGTCTTGATTTGTTCGCTTGCTGCCTTGCTCAATCCCGTAAAGGAGCCCATATACTGCGTTGTTGGTGGGCTGTTTTGTTCGTCGAACAAGAATGTTCGAACAAATATGATGCAAACGAAAGTGTATGGTGTGTGGCTAGCGAAAACGGCCATTTTGTAGCCCCACACTTCGGTTTTGAGTCAGTTTTCTTAGAACAGACTCGTTCGTCGAACAAAACAGCCCATCAGGGCCCATAACAACGCAGTGTATGGAAAAGAGTGTAATTCTTTCACATTTAACCGTAAAATAATGTAACAGTATTTTGATACTGATAATTTGTACATTTTGGGCACATAAAATGTATTGAGAATGTACAGTTTTTAAGACAGTTGTTGGAAAAATATAGTATCACACTTCAATAATGAAGCATTTGAAATGGTAGTTTTTCTAACAAGGGCGAAAAGTGATACTTTTCTGGCTGCTAACGCGTTGTTTGGCCATCTGCGATCACGTGCGCAAAAGTCACTTTACGCACGTGTTCTGTACACTATTTTTTCTACTAGCGTGCGGAAAAAATCCAAATTGAAAGTTTTCTTCGCACTAGTGCGGAAAAATTACTCTTTCAACACTAAAATGAGTGCGGAAATGTGGACTTTTCTACACGCTAGTGGAAAAAATATTATAAGGGTTTTTGAAGGTTTTATGACGTGGTAGGAAAAGTATAGTATGGGACTCGAATAAAAAAACGAAATTCCAATTGTCATTCTTTATTTTTCTCCAGTATTGGTTGGCACCGAGCAGTCCATTTTCTTTGGACGTAAAATTCGACGACACAGGGGAAAACATCATAGCGATGCGATTCCTCATCCAAGCTGTCAACATATCCGGAACCGAGCACGAGAAGGAGATGGTGAGAGCCATCAGACAAATCTGCAAAGACTCACCGCTGAATGTCACCGTCTTCAATCCCTATTTCGTATTTTTTGATCAAGTAAGTACGAACCCACAGCTATGCTATAAAGTTGTCCCAATTGTCAACGAGAGTGAGACATTACTGTTTCGGTCCATCAGGGATCATCAGTCGCCCTCGGTCTGCTGATAATTGGGACAACACAACGTTTCGGGTATATCACACCCCACTAAGCTAATTTGGAAGCTATGTTATATTGCAAATGCAAAGGACCCCGCACATTTAGTACGTAAAATGGCTTTCGGCTAAATTTTCTGAAAATTTGATATGTTCAAGACATTATCGTCCTTATCACACAGTCCAATTTACAGAACGATCCTATGACCAGTTTTCGAGCTACAGGGTGTCAAACATTAGATTTTGGCTGTTTAGAATATTTTGCATCAATTTGAATTATGTGCTCTAAGTCGTGATTATTCTTCAGTAGGAATGAACTCTTCACGTCTAATATCTACCTGATGAATCCCTCTATTCGGTTATAGGATGATATCACATACAGAGTATTGCATTCCATCAGGACAAGGTAATATTCTTGGGAAAAGACAAATATTGATAACATCAGAATTTTGATTTTTACTCAATCACTCAAAACTTGAAAACAAACGGCTAGAATCGGCCAATTATGTGACACAGTATGGGTCTTGATCATAAACATGAGGATTCATATGATTACCTCTGATACCATGTCCGGTTGGCCATATATAGGGTGATGACAATTTGTTCACCCAGTTCGAGATATCAATAATAATACCACTGGAATGTATTTTCACCAAGCTATTCAATGAGATGATATGCGTTGGGGTGGTTGTGACTCATCAGGGGCTTGGTGGGGGTGGGTTATTCCATGAGACATTTCATTTTCCACTTCATATATTATAGAAATGTATCTCATTTTGTACCTGAGTTACATCAATTCTATAAGCATTCAAATTGTCATCACCCTATATATGGCCAACCGGACATGGTATCAGAGGTAATCATATGAATCTTCATGTTTTTGATCAAGACCCATACTGTGTCACATAATTGGCCGATTCTAGCCGTTTGTTTTCAAGTTTTCAGTGATTGAGTAGAATAGAATAGAATAGAATAGAATAGAATAGAAATATTGTATTGCTTCCATGTAAATATATACATATAGCAAGGGTTTAGCTTGCGGCAGAAGAAAAAATATAATAAGTGTAACTTAATATGATGAGTAAAAATCAAAATTCTGATGTTTCCTATATTTGTTTTTCCCAAGAATATTACCTTGTCATGATGGAATGCAATAATCTGTATGTGATATTATCCTTTAACCGAATAGAGGGATTCATGAGGTAGATATAAGACGTGAAGAGTTCATTCCTACTGAAGAATAATCACGACTTAGAGCACATAATTCGAATTGATGCAAAATATTCTAAACAGCCAAAATCTAATGTTTGACACCCTGTAGTTCGAGAACTGGTCATAGGATCCATCTGTAAATTGGACTGTGTAAGGACGATAATGTCTTGAACATATCAAATTTTCAGAAAATTTGGCCGAAAGCCATAAATGTGCGGGGTCCTTTGTAAATGTAACGTTCCAGCAATGTCACCTCAACCTGTTATATTGCTGCAACGCTAGATTATAACACTTCACCAACGTCCGTTTCAGTAATTGCTCAAACATTGCATCAACATAGCTTTCAACTTTGCTCAGTGGGACAAATCGAGGACATGATTCGATATGATGCAGTGGCGGATTAAGACTTTTAGGAGACAGAGGTGCAATAAATTCCACCGCCAATTTCATGTGAATTTCAAAGATTCAGAGTGTTGAAAAAACACTATTTTATAATTATTTCGTAACATAAAAATATTTAATTGAAAGAAAATTCTTTCGTGTTTTTTTGCTAGGTCATCTATGATATTTTCCAAGTTTATTTCCTCTATTATACTTCTTCTTCGATGAAAATAACAGATTCTCTTGATATACCGCCGCGGGTGTCAATCTATGAGGCAAGTCATAATTTCTAGAATACTAGGAGTATCAAAATCGGATATTGTATAGAAAAATCGATAGGAAGAAGAGAGTTCGCATATTTTTCACTTTCCGATCACTTCCGGCTCCACCGAAAATGGCTCCGGATTCGATTTTTTGAAATACTCTGTATGTAGTAATTTTTTTTGAATAATTCTATAGATCAAAATGTGACATTTTCGAAAGCTTTCACGCCTACTTTCATTTTTTTAGAGTCTAGGTAGATCCGATGTAAACTAATCTAAGGACCTCAGGAAATGTCAGAAAATTTTGATAATTTTTTTGACGAACAGTTTTCGAAAAAGAGGATTTTTTGATAAATCTAACGATACTCATATTTATTTGCCATTTGATTAAAAATGAGAACATAAATTAAATATCAGTAATGAAAACACTGAATAATTAATTATTTACTATCAAGAATGATGCGGAAGTAAGATATGGTGCGCGCAATCGGCCATTATTACGTATTGAAAATTTCAGAAAAATCACTCGACCGCCTACTATGATTTCTCTACGTCAGAACGAGCGAGAGGTTGATTCTACATTCTCCCGCTAGATGGTGATGCTTCTATTGCTGCTGAAACGAGTGGGAATGAAATGGCAAATATGGCATTTTAGGTACGCGAAACATATGTAACCATATGTAACAGTGGGATTATTCAACTCTGAATTCGAAGAATCTGCGAAAATTTCAAAACTGACAGATGTTGTAATTGTGCAATGTCCACGGAACCATTGCTCTCGCTGTTCTCGAGAGGTCGAGTGAAATTTCTGAAACAAAAGCGCATCAGTAATTACACCATATCTTACTTCCATCATTTTATCAAGCTAGTGTGCCATGGGTAGCAATGGTGCATAATATTTTGAAGGTACATATTTTTATCAGCGCTTCTTTGGAACACGAAACACTCAGACAGTCAAAATACCTTTACCTACGGCCACTATAGTAAGTAGAGAAGAACACACGAGACACAGCCTCACTAAGTAGCTTTTAACGCACAGTAAGCACATCGCACAGTTTTTGTTGATTCCGCCAGTATAGGAATGTCATGATCGCTTAATCGCCAACAACAGCGGATGACATAACTGTCAAGAGTGTCAAGAATTATAAGTCAGACTGTGTGCCCAAACTTTTTTGATGTACTATATGGCAGTAGGTAAAGTACAGTACGTAATGCTTGTTGTAAAGCAATTACGCACTCGCCGCTCCGTGGCTACGTGCGTAACTCTTCTATTCGTGCATATGCTTCTTACAACACATATTACGTGATATACTATAAATATACTTTAAGAATGAAGTGGAAATGAAAATTTTACATTTTTATCCAGAAATGTCTAAGAAATCCAAGGATGTTACTATATACAAAACGTGGTCACATACCATATTTACCAATACCAAATCTCATTTTGATACACCTAGTATTCTAGAAGTTATGAATTATTGCTTTGAAAAATCTTCACAATAGCCTTCTCGCCATGAGAAATTCGAGGCGCTCGCCTCCTGACAGATTGATTCCAGAGATATGGGAGGGCATCTCATTCATGACTCGAAATGAGAGTCCCACTCATAGACTCACTGACCTCACAATGACTGCTATTCCGGGCCCTTTTGGTCATATAATGATTCACATTATGATGCCAAATGAAACTCACAAGTACGTATCAAGCGACTCTTCATTCAACATCAACATTGATTGATTTCATTTGTTACATAAATGGACAAGAATGCGAGGTTCCATAGTGAGTATCTTGGTTGTTGGAAAGCCTCACAAATTCACCTACATTTCAAGTCTCTAATCCAATGAAATGTGACGAATATTACGAATATTTTGTAATATGAAGAGTCCCCTGGCAATACCAATGATGTTTGTTCCTTATGTAATTCGCATTGTTACCTAGAGAGACATGAATGTGACATCTCAGGGATGTTTGTGTTTACTGGGCTATAATCTGTCAGTGATATTATCTTTATTTCAGTTCGAATTGGTGAGACCCATGTCCATCCAAAACATGATCATAGGAGCTGGAATCATGATGGTGGTGTCCTTCATATTCATTCCCAATATCCTGTGCTCGTTTTGGGTGGCACTCAGTATCATCTCGATAGAAGCGGGGGTGGTGGGTTACATGGCTCTGTGGGGGGTCAACCTGGATTCCATCTCGATGATCAACCTCATAATGTGTATAGGTGAGTTTCGTGTCAACCACGGAATTATTCACATTCAAACACAATTTCCGGATGCTGCACCACTGGTAGAGTGTAGGTCTCTTTGATCACACCAAAGTATACTTTTGTTATCAGTTTGTCAATATCCATCTCTCATACTTACTTAATCCATTAAACTATTCCGTTCTGTTGCATCATAGAGATATGTCTTGCTTGAAAAGTGAAAACGCTGCATGACTCGTATTAAAGATTTTGGGTGTCGATACTATGCTACTATTGGATCTTTATTTCATTTGATTCAGACCAGTGGAGAGTCCCTTTCATCCTGATATCTATCATGAGACAATAAAATAAATGAAAACGGTATTGAAGTTTGATGCGAACAGCCCTTCTGCCCCAAATAAGTCTCAGAAATACATTCTGAGAATTGAAAAAGATCTAACGGAACAAATAAATATCAAAAACTTGTGGAGAGTAAATTTGGTCATAATGATGATATTTTCTACAGTTTATGGACAATCTCGGTCTTTTGAACCTCGATCAATCACCTGGGTCATAATCAACTGCATTTCGCAGAAGCTGATTCCCATGAACCTCAGATATTTCCGAAAGTCTTGATACTATGCGATTTGATAGCTTCGGCATTACTCTTTGCCTACGTGTAGCAGTGTTGCCACAAAAGTTGTTCGTAGTTTCCGGTGTGAAATGATTTTTTACTGCCGAGTTCGTATGTTTCCTTTTACAATTGGAGCAAGGGCGGTTCTAAAGAGGGGGGGAAGAGGGCAAACAACTGATCAAATTTTCAAATTTTATTCCTTGAATAAATGGTGAAAAATCAAAAGGATATCGATATCAAATCATATCAATATCAAAAAAATCAACAAGAATATTAACAAAAATCTTGAACCAGGAATACTCGAAGTGGAATGCGATGGTCACAAATAGAGAGAAACTCAAAGTCATTACCACAAGATAGTTCATAAAATGAACGAAAATGGTAGATAACGAGAACGAGAGAAAAACAACTACTTTCCTGGCTATATGCCACGCAGAACATTAGATTACATCATCCCGAAATCTATGCAATATTTCGTATGAACGAATCAAATCGCAGGTGTTTCCTTCCTAAACGCTGAGCTGCGCCTAAGTGGTTCAGGAATTCGTGATTACCTGCAGACCGGTTTCGAGCTGTTGGCTCTCATCAGTACAGGGCTGTCCCAGATAGCTTCTTGACCGCTATCTGGTGCGAACCTGACCCAACTTAAACGCATCTCAGCATTTATAAACCACTCGAGGTGTTCAACGTCCGCGAAATGTACGCGAACGCCGAACGCCACCTGGCAAGAAAAGAAACACTCTTAGGAAGGAAACACTTGGGATTTTATTTCGTCTATACGAATTTTCATTGCGCGCCCACGCACTAGTGTCATTTTGGATAACTATTAGAATTTTTCTTTGCATTGCAGAAAATGGGTCCACAGTCCTTCCATTGCCAGTAATTCGTATTACTGGTACAACTATTCTAGCGATTGGTGGATTTCCAGTATTTCATGGATAAAATCCATTAAAAATAAAAAAAGAGCAGAATAGATATGAAATTCTCGAGAGGAAACAAAGGCCCTCGGGTGAATGTTACCCTTCTGGCGTTATTCTCCTCGTTTCATCATTATTCAACCGAATTGGAATTTCTTAACGTCATTTTGTAGCTTAAAGGCTATAGTATACAGTGCTATTTTTGAAAATTCCATGATGAAAGAAAACAGAATGGTGGAGCATCTCAAACATTTGTGATTTGCAGAATCCGCTGGCAAATAAGAAAATCAGAATTTTTCCAACGAAACATAGGCAAAATTAATATGTCTTAGAACGTATGTATAATGCTTAATTATGTCAAAAACAGTTCGTTACAAGTAAATAATTGAGGAGCAAAAAAAGCCTCTAAATTGAACGATCCACACAATTTGATCACTGAAAGATGCCAGAGGCGTACTACGAAACTTTTTGGGGGGGATAAAGAAGCCTCTACCCCCAAAAACGTATCATCCTGTAGATTCTGAAAATCTTCAAATGACTTGAAATGATGATCTTCTAGGAAGTATTGACCACACCAACTTTCAAAATGATATCTTGAAAAGTAAGCGAGATATTTCAATTAATAGAAAATGATAATTAAACTTTGACCACCTGTAGCACCGCTCCTGAACGAGATCGGACTAATGTTTATATGAACTTTTCTGATTGAAATGATGAGATCTATCTCCCATTTCAGTTTGTGCCTCAACACCTGAATCACCCTGTATAACGCCTCGGGTGATATGGGTCTGCTAATAGCAACCATTGCCAAGGTATAATAAAGCAGTATAATAGACAAGTGGAACATAAAAAACTATAAGGACCTTCCTTGAGTTAGAATACCTATTAGTTCACCATATCTACATGAATATTACAGATTACAGCATTGCCAATACAAACATCTCTGGTCTAAACGAAGAAAACATGCATTATACATACATACCAGATACATACATACATAAGTAACCGATTTTTTTCAATAGGTTTCAGTGTAGACTTCACTGCTCACATTTGCTACGCCTACATGTCTTCCAAAGCGAAAACCCCCGACGAAAGGGTGAAAGATGCCTTGTACGCCCTTGGTTTGCCTATATTCCAAGGTTCCGTCAGCACCATTCTGGGAATGATAGCTCTCCTACTAGCCAACAACTACATCTTTTCTGTGTTCTTCAAGATGGTGTTCTTGGTAGTATTCTGTGGAGCTATGCATGGACTGCTTCTGCTTCCAGTGATGTTATCCTTGTTTGGACCAGGTGAGAAATCGAACCATGAAAAAACAACTGCTACAAACGTTTTGATTCCAGTTGAGTTGAGTGGGGTTCCATTTGCTGACGATGATTTGCATTTTTGTTTCAGGCTCTTGTACCAGAAGACCGATTGATGAAGATATGAAGCTATCGAAAATAGAAGAATCTCTTCCCCCTCCATACTGCATACCACACCCACAGTTTACCTTGAATGGTAGCAATTTGGGAGCTCTGAAGGGTTCTAACATTCCAAGCATCGAAAGGTGAACATTATAACGATTATATTTTACTTCATAATTATTAATTATAGTAGTAGTAGTAGTAGTAGTACTAGTAGTAGTTTATTGAAAAATAGGAAAGCCTAATATACAAACATCTCGAGCATCCATAAAACATTTAACATCACACATATATATGTATGAAATTCACAATAGCAATTCATAGTTATAGTTATACAAGACACATATTTGAAAACCATTAACAATAATACTAAAATCAAAAATGAAAATTTAACATATAGTCAACAGATAACTAAACAATCAAGCTAATAATACAGAAAACTTAATACAGGTTGAGGACAATATCAAGTTAAGAAACAATAATTATTGAATATAGGATAATATGTTATAAACATTTCAATACAATACCCACCCGTCCAACATTCATAGAGTTTAAACATACTTCGATAATGATGATTTGAAAGAAGATGAAGATACTGATGATTTTATATGCATATGTAGTTTGTTGAATTCATTTAACCCTTTGAAAAATATGAAATGTATATGATGTCAGTTCTCATTCGTGTGCCATAGTTATGAATTTCATCATTTCTTGTTATGAATTCATTGAAATAGGAAGGAAGTAGGCCTTTCTTCAATTTGTAAATAAAGGTCATAGTCATGTAAAATAAACGAGTATTAACTGAAAACCATTGCAAAGTATCTAGCATCAGTGTATGTGTAAGTGGCCCCAAGACGCTGCCTTGAGGTACTCCAATATTATTACTCAATGTATTGGAATAACTTGAGATCATTATGTAATGGTGATCGATTGAAGAAATTGTTTCAAAAATTCGGGTACAAAAATAGAAACATTGCTATTCCTAATTCTCAGGTATGCAAAAAAGCCGTTAAAGAACTACATGGAGATAGAAAAGGACCTCGGTCTAGGCACTTCCGAAGAGAATTCCAGCGAATCGTCGGTCCATTCGCAGAGGAAAAACGGTTTGGACGATGCAGCCATGGAGAAAAAGTACCGGGACGCGTGGAGAAGGAATTCTGAGGTAGCGATAAGCCAGTTCAGGGCTTCGCAAGTACTAGACATCTTTGGAAACGACTCGGAAGCCGAATATTACAGGTACTGGCAGTCGTCACGCACTTCCCGAATGATGGATATATTTCAACTGTAGAATCATTAACCCAAAATATGAACAGTTACCTACATGCATCTTGTTTCATGTTTCATTGTCATATTTCTGTGAAAGTGTAGATACTATACAACCTACTGAATTATGTGAAATGGATGTTTCTCAGAGGCGTACGACAGGGGTTAAGTGACTGGATTGATCCTTCCCAAATTCTACGCCACTGGCAAAATTGCCATTTTATTACAATTTTTCGAATCTCCAATATAAAGTCCTTATTTTTGGAAATATTCAAAGTAAAACATGGAGCTGCACAATTATTTAGATTTTGGTGTGAATTGATTATGTCAATGTTTTGGATTGTATTCATTACGCAAATGCAACTTCAATCCATATTAACAAATAAAACATGATGACATAATCATCTTTAAATTTTTCAATATAATAAATAATAGCATACAGAAACATTCAATCTAGGTGATTTGGGTTAAATCTTCATATTTCGAGCTCGATTACATATATCTGAAATATTTTTAATTAGTAATGAAACATCCTGTATATAATTAATTTTATTGAGATATATTATCACTTCAACTTTTTGTTTCTGCCTCATGTATTCCGCTTTATGTGTTTGTAGAAAAATGTCTTCTTGTCTTTGCTCATGTATCAGATTCCCAAATATGGAGTTTTATCAAAATAACATCTACAGGGTGGGTAAGTATTGGTGGCTTTTGAAAACTTTTCAAGAGGAATCTAGATAGATGAGAAGCCATGTCACTGCCTAAGGGCCTGCCTATAAGGGTCATTTTTTGCGACAAAATCAACGATGAGAAGATAATATCGATATCTATCGACGTCTCAGAGTTACAAGGTGTTTTTCAAAATGTCCATTTTCGAAAAGTAGCTGCAATAATTTTTAATAATTCAACAAAGTATTTTTTCTTTTTATGACGATCTCAATGATTTAGATATTATGTTCTCATGGAAACAAAGGGTTCTTGATAACAAGAAGAGATTTTACCAATATTCAAAAATGCACATATTGAAAAAACAACATGTAACTACGAAACGATGATAGATATCGATATGCGGTTTTCACCATTGAGTTTTATCATGAGAATTAACCCTCACGGCACTAATATTAGTTGCCATTCAATCTAATTTGAAAATCAGATTTTGCTCACAATGAAATTTCCAAATGAAATATTTTTTCTCAAGCTATCATAATTGAATCTGCAAAACTCAATCTTCCATAACACACCTATCATGAAAATGTTCTGTTAAGAGGTGGATTCAAAGTTAAAATTCAACATACTTTTTAATTATATACAAAGTAGGTATATTTTGTGGATTGAAAGTATGATTCGATATATCGTTGAAAAGGTAGGTAGCTTCATACTATTTCGTATTTTCTTCAAGAAAAGAAGTACTTTTCGTTTCAAATAATACAGTTGACTACAATTTTGTTCTAACTGGAAGTATTATGTTCTTGCTCTGATTCGAGATATCTAATCAGAATAGCAAGAAAGATATAGAAATGTTACTTTTTGTGGCTTTTCTAAGTTCCACCTGGTTCCACAAAAGTAGCGTTACCTAGCAACGAAACTATTTCTTGCATGTGAAAATTTCAAACTTTGAAATCACAAGTTTTTACGGAAGCGTATAGGTACCACCATCAAAAATTATTCATCTTGAATTTTCAACAGCTAGATTGAAATTTCAAGATAGTAAGTTGAAATTTCGCATAATTATGTTGAAATTTCGACTTAGCTATGTTGAAATTTCAACTTAGCTATTTTGAAATTTCGACTTAGCTAAGTTGAAATTTCAAGATGATTATGTTGAAATTTAAACAAACTAAGTAGAACTTTTAACATAGCCAAGTTGAAATTTTGACTTAACTTCGAGACCTATTTGAAATGTATAACTGATGAGATTAGTACGGCGACGGTTGTACATGGTCTAAACAAACGATCGACACGAGTTGTGTTTAGCAAATATGTAGGTATGAATTAATCAAATTCTATTTTCTACTCGGATTCAGCCAGAGTGAAATGTTATATTTTCTTTCTATAATTCATAAAATCCATATAAGCAGGAGAACATTGAAAAGGTGCCTCGGAAAAATGAAGTTGTATAGAAGAAAAAAATATACACAACTTGAACAACTCTTGGATTTTTTCACCGATGAAATCGGAAACTATGGACAACTACATGGTTACAAGTGGATGCATTTAAAGTGCATTCAAAATGGATTATCGGTTACTCAAGAAACTCTTCGGTTAGCTCTTGATTTCCTAGACCCAAGTAGAGTTGAGCTGAGAAAGAAAAAACGATTGAGAAGTAGACAATATCGTTATAATGGATCTAATTTTCTGTGCATGGCACATGGATTCGTACGATAAATTAAAGCCATTTGGAATAGCAATAAACTGATGCATTGATGGATTTTCCAGATACGCTATTTGGTTGAGAGCAAAATATAAGGTTGGAATTTCAACATAATTATGTCGAAATTTCGAGTTAGTATGTTGAACTTTCAACTTAATATCTTGAGATTTCAATTTACTATCTTGATGGTGGCCCCAATATGCTTCCGTGAGTTTTTGAGACTCTATGAGGAAAAAAATGATTTTTAGGAAAAGACAAAGACGAGTAACCGAAACGGCGACTCCGAATGCGAGGATTTACGAACGAAGAGCCCCGGAAGTCGACTTACCACCGCCAAGGTACCAACCCAACAGAAGACACTCACCGCCAGAGGGCAGGTACCAACCGAGACAGAACGGAGAGTACCTGAACAGATCCAATTCCTATCACGAAATATCGCATCCTAGGTTCGTGAAGGAGTCCAGATATTCGTAGTTTCATAGGTTATGGAAATTATTGTGTTCGGACTAAGGTGGCCATTCAAGTGGATTTGTGAACAATATGTATTTTTACGTGATTAACAATTTGACGAGATGATTCCGAAAATATCGGATAAACTACGTATTTATACAGGGTGTGCGGTAAACCATGGAGTTAGTGATAAACAAGTTTTTAACTTATTAGAAGACCACAACTTGACCTTGGTAGAAACTTCACGTCTTTCGAGATATTGGAACTCCTATAAAAACAAAAACGAATTCCTATCTCGGATCATTCTTTCATGTTTCAAGCAAATAAGGAGCGTTTCATGTTAATGCTCATCATCGATAAATACAGGGTGAATCTGAAAGTGAGTTTTTTTATTTAACAGGGTTTGTAAAAACAGGTTTTTGATTAGTGTTTGTAATGAAATAATGCAACTGTAGGGTATCTAATGTTGGCCTTATAACGGCTTTTTTGCGTTTTTCTTTGGGGAAAATGATAACAAAATGTTTCATAGTTGAAGTCTTCTTTGAACTATTACATCCTTGTACCTCCGTAATCTTAAATATTTTATAAGAGCAATTTGTTGCCAAACAACCTATTCTGGTGAGATATATATCCTAAAAAAAACCACTGTGAGATTCACCTTGAATAATTGAATGATAGTTGTAACAATAGCAGAAAGCAGATTTACTATACCATCATCTACACCAATTTACGGTCTACAAAATAATATTCTCCGATTTAGATCCCTCATGATTTCTATTATGATACTTCGTTGAATAGTTATTTATACACCAAGATATAGTAAAGAATATCATTATTACCCTGAAACGGATTACCGACAATTGGACGTGGTCAATTGGACGCACGAAAATTGGACGCGGCGACAATTGGACGCGGTGACAATTGGACGCGGCGACAATTGGACGCGGCGACAATTGGACGCGTCGACAATTGGAAGCGACGAAAATTGGACGCGGCGACAATTGAGCGCATGCGTAAATAAAAATAATTTTATAATTACAATGAAATTTATTGCATGGAATATGCAGGGCTCATATCTATAATATAACAAATACCTAACCTAACCTAACTAACCTAAAATATTGTACTATATTCGTATCGTAAATTCATATTACGATATGAGATAGGAAAATAATTGTCAAACGAGGCCATAGGTATTTGTTATAATTATGGATATAAGCCCATCAGTATTTCATATTTTATACAATGAATTTCATTGGAATTATAAAATTATTTTCATTTACGCATGCGTCCAATTGTCGCCGCGTCGAATTGTCGCCGCGTCGAATTGTCGCCGCGTCGAATTGTGGCCGCGTCGAATTGTCGCCGCGTCTAATTGACGCCGCGTCTAATTGTCGCCGCGTCCAATTGTCGCCGCGTCCAATTGACTGCGACCAATAGTGGTGCGTCCAATTTTCCACGTCCAATTGACGCGACACCCCCTGAAACCAAGGCTGTAGTCGCGGAGTATGAGGTCCCGTGGTGATAATATTCTTTACTACCAAGGTGTATATTACTTTTTTTCACCACTAGCGATGAATTTCAGTTATTATAGTTCTATGTAACTGAAATATGGACCTTCTGTCAATATGAAAGTACTTGTTTTCAATCCTAGTGAATATCTAGTAGACATCATGACCATAAGTTGTTGAGTGATGTTTTTACAATAACGACTTGTTGAAGTCGTTATTGTAAAAACATCACAAACGATAAGATTTCCACAAACGGCCGAGTCAATTCAAAAAAAGTCGTTATTGATAAATACCTACTGAATCGAGAGCCATTCCTGCGAATCTCGCATCAGAACAGTGAATTCGGGTTAATTATATCAAAGGTGGCATTATCTTTATTTACTAGTTTGACTAGTAGATCGAAAAAATAGTAAAAACACACTTTACGCTTTGAGAAGGAGTAAATAATGCTATAGGGTGCTATCCCTATTGGTGGATTTTTTTTTATTAGTAGACCGAAAATGACTGTATATAAATATCTCCTTCTGCGATTGTTACAACTATACTATTCAGTAATAAATAATCAAAAATAAAAATGTACATAAAACGCTGCTTATTTTCTTGGAATATAAAACAATAATGATCTGCAATAAGAATTATTTTTTTCATAGAAATTTTCAATATCGCGAAAACCATGAGGTTTTTACTGAGGTCAAGTTGTGGTTCTTTGGATGGAGTATGATCCAGCATGGTTAACTGGACACCCTATTTAGTTTGACAATTTTGACTCATTGTTACATTTTTGTTCTAGAAAATTAGTTGTGTATATTTGAATTACATCGTCTGTATTTGTAACAGTAGACCAAATCATTTTGGAGAGACTTTATTTCGTGTATACCACAAATCCGAGAAAAAATCATTCAGTTTATGGAATTCTTCGAAATGAATGGACAAGCCGATGTATTGACTGATACCTATCATTCCATATTTTATCAATTGTTGTTGAAAAATATGTTCTCTATTATGTGACATTGCTCAAGTTTATTTTTTATAGTTAATATTGTACAGTGAATAAATTTTGTAAAATATTTTTGCATTCGTAGAAATAAAGGTATATTTATAGAATAAAACATGTGATTTTTTTCATTTCAATATATACGATCATATTATACAGTTTAACCATTGATTGATATATTACTTTATATCAATCAACTGTTGAAAAAATTAAATGTATAGAACCACTATGACCTATAATCTTGCTTTCCCCATCGTTAGTTTCAGTATGTCACTGAAATAACCAAAAAAGAAAATGAAAAATGAGATATATCACGATTTTGATTAGTAAAATCAGAAAGAGCATTCACCAAAAATAAGTCTAATAGTGTCCTTATCAAAACTTTCATTGGTCGAGAAGTGAAAACAAATTTATTACATCAAGGTTGGGTTGTAGATGTAGATCTGATTATTTTTTCGAGGGTATGGGCCGGGGTATGGTTGGCTTGATCAGGAAAAGCCGCGTGTCCATAAAAATGTATGAATAATTTTATGTCCCAATCATTGGATTGGTAGTAGTAGTAGTATTGTGGGGAGGCTGTAGCCAGGCAAGTAGGCCCCCATGGGCCCTTTTTGTCAACCCCTGCTCTCCACATATCTACACATCCCTCTTTTAGTTGTCCTTTTCGAACCTTCCCGTCCTTCTGATGAAGGTCAGGATGTCCGTCCACTCTAATTCGACCAAATCTTCCTGTTGTAGTTTATCTACTCCAAAGATTCCGAATCTCATCCTTCCATACGCCTCACACTCTCCGAGGAAGTGAAGTGATGTCTCGTCATCTTCTCCGCATTCACGGCAAGTGGGGGACTATCTTCCACACCTATGAGTGATAGGTGTCCAAGCCAGTAACCAAGCCGTCCTTGGCTTGCTTGGACCGGCCACCAGGTCTCTCGATTGCCTGCAGCCGCCTATACGCCTCCTATATACTTCTATATAGTGCCTCGTCCGCCCATTTGTTAAGGGCAGACGAAGTTTGGCTTCTTGTTATGCCCAGTGCAGGCTCCGGTCCCCAGAACGGTGTCGCGGATCCGATTCTAGCCAGCTCGTCGGCCACCTCGTTCCCGGGCACCCCCCTGTGCCCCGGAACCCATACTAGTTCGACTCCCTTCTGTTCAGCTATCTGAGCTTGGTTTAGGATGGCAGACAGCCCTGAGAGCCGCCTGACTATCCGAGCAGATGTAAATCTTCTTCTGGTCCCTCTTTCACCTCTTGCCTCTCCGCTACTGCCAGAATGGCAAAGACCTCGGCCTGGAAAACTGTGGTATACTTTCCAAGAGCGTAGCTCTCCCTTATGCCTAATCCTTCTAGGTAAATTCCTGCACCTGAGTCCTGTTTGTCAGTTAGGCGCGATCCGTCCGTATAACATACTAGACTCCCCGGGCGGAATTTCACTCTGTTCTCTTCCCATTGTTCCCTGCTTGGAATAGTGAGGGTGAACCTTTCATTCCATCTCAGCCTATTTTGGGCGTTCTTCACTCTTAGGGTGGAGATAGGGATCTCCTGCTCCACCCATGTCGCAATTTCCGCGTGACCTGTCACTGCTCCTCCGTTAGCCCAACTCCCAGAGTCCCGCATCCTCAGATAGGCCGCCATTGCTTCCCTCTTAATCCAGATTGGAAGCGGCGGCAGCCTCAGCAGTACCTCCAGCGTTGCACGGCAGCCTCAGCAGTACCTCCAGCGTTGCAGTTAGCGTCGTCCTCATTGTTCCTGTGATCGCCAGGCAGGCCATTGGATTGGTAAATCTAAATATATGAAGACAATAATTATGACATTCAGATTCCCATGAAATTTCTGATGGAATGATCACTTCCCTTCACCGCGTTTTCTGATCGAGGCAACCTCCTATGCGAATAATCAACAGCTCTACCAACCTTGCTTTTCTTGATAAACAGCGCCATCTTTGGTGTAGAAGGCATAGTAGCAAACAATTTTCCAATGGATTTTGTCGTTACAGAGCCATAATGCATAGAAAACTGTTTAATACTTCTCATACTTCCGTATAGATAGCGCCAATGACTTGATTAATGTCGCTGATTGATGAAGAGATATCTGGATTCTAGATCATAATTATGAAAAATTTAATTATTTTCGCTATTAAAGACTTTCAAGAGTTCGTTAATTTTCAGGCAGAGGGAAATGATCCACAATTTTATGATCAATCAGAATCAACAATAACAGAACATGATTCGAACACATATTGTGTACAGTCGTCTTCAGAGAACATGTCGCACATGGACGGTGTCATCTTTCTTAATCAACGCTGCAATAACCGCGACATGTTCACAGAAGACAAGTGTACATAATCGGTATTATCAGCAACATGAGTACCTATAATATCAGGCCATTATTATATTTAACATTATTTAATATTATATTTAATGTCACATTGGACATTGAGGACATTAAATAAGAAAATAATGTGAATTTCAGGTGACCAGACGAAGTGTGGTGAATTATTTTATCACTATACCAATTCTTCTTTCTCCTTTTCCTTCTCGTCCACCTATCTATTTGAATTGATAGATATGGAATTATACGAGATAAATATTCTTTTTCTACAAACGTCAAAAAATGACAAGGTTCGCGCATTGATAACAAATTGCGAAGTGACACTTTTTTTCAGTTTCCTACGTTACCATGATTCCTTGCACAAAACAATGCGCGAAGTAAAACAGTGCGCGAAGTACCTACTTCGCGCATTGTTATGTAAAATATATGAGATATTTATATTTCAACTTCATGGTCCTCAATCGAGCAGACATCCACAAAATCATTTATTTCTGAATGTTCAACAATAGCTTTGTTTCTTCTCTTGGAGCGCACGAAAGGAAATTCCTATTATGTTCGTGGAACATCGTGCGT